GAGGAGGATCTCAGTGCCTCTTTATGATCTTACTAGACCAAGATAATAATAAAAGTACCGGTATGACACATTGGGATATCATGACACATATCCCGTAACACCCTCGCACTTAGTACATCACAACCATCACTAACGCCTTGACGATCCTGCCTGCGGAAGTCAACACGTCCTCAGGCAATGTTCATTCCATTCAGCGGTCGACAACAAAAACAGATTCATTAATTCTAACATGCTGTTCATTCAAAATAGGAATTTTCTAAATTATAAATTGATATTATTATATAGTGCATATTTAGGCATAGGTTAGGTAGGTGTTTAGGTTTTGTTTACGATTATTTTATACTTGAAGTACGTGGGTGAAGCATTTACAGAGTTGTGATTGGAGCAGACGTCATCACAAAGCACTGTTCGATAAATATTCGAACGTCATCAGTTGTGAGTCGTGGATAAACCGTTTTCCATTTATAAACAAATGGTTTGGCGGCTGGATTAACAGGCAATTTCCCCTTTGTTGATAACGAGGGGCTATGGTATTTGCAGTACGTGAATAAAGCCATGAGCGAAGCACTGCTCTAGAAAAATCTGTATGTCATCATTTGAGAGCAGTGTGTAAAATTATTCATCCATACACAGAGGGTTTGGTGGTTGAATTAACGACCATTTGAAGAAGTTTGTTGGTGAGGCGGGTTGCGAATTTCGACTGAATCCACTCACGAACACATTCCTAGCCTCATGGTGCTTCATCCCAGCCCTTCATAAACATTGACCAGGATTCGGGGTTCATCTTTAACGTTAGTCGGACGAGTGGCTCTTGCTCAGCCAGAGTATAGTTACCTTAGTGGATGGCCGGTCCACCAGCCATCCCTGCCTTGCCTTGTTATGGTGGTCGGCACCTGCCTTGCTTTGTTAAGGTGGTCGGCACCTGCCTTGCCTTGTTAAGGTGGTCGGCACCTGCCTTGCCTTGTTAAGGTGGTCGGCACCTGCCTTGCCTTGTTAAGGTGGTCGGCACCTGCCTTGCCTTGTTATGGTGGTCGGCACCTGCCTTGCCTTGTTAAGGTGGTCGGCACCTGCCTTGCCTTGTTATGGTGGTCGGCACCTGCCTTGCCACGGGAGGTCAGCTGCTCTTGTCGAGGTTGGTCGGCGCCAGCCTTGCAGAGCGTGGCCGGTGCCTGCCCTGTCGAAAGTGTTCAGGTAGCAGCAGCTGATGTGCAGCAGCTGCGTGGCGGTTTTGTTTTTGCCGTTTCACTTTTTTTCGGCGTAGGCTCCGGTTTGGTTTCCATACCGGGGACCAGTTTGGCAGATGGGCGTACAGCCAGTTGCGTCATCCTAAACCCAACTGGAGCCAAATTATGCTGGGTAATCCAGCCGCCAAACTTCCTATTTATTCTCACTGAAATGATTTACCTACATACTTCAAATACAATTAATTATCAACAACCTATATAAAGCTTACCTAAGCTAGGCTTATCTATACAACAAATTTAAACAAATAATAATTTATATTTAGGAAAGCTGATTTTGAATATAGGACATAAAAATTGACAGAAGCACCTTTTGGATTGGTGAACATAACCTAAGAGTGAGTTAGTATCATCCTGTCTCAGCCTTAAATCATTGGCCAAATGTTTTGCTCACTCCTAATGTTCAAAGCACACCATCTATATGATTTTTGACATTTACAACAAACTTTGGCTGGTTGTCCTGAGTGCTTCTATATGTTGGGTAGACTTTTAAAGATTCAAAATACATTGTACTTCTTAGTTATTTTACCTCTCATTTAAGTCTCGTTCACCTTTTTTAGAGTAATATGTACTCACACATGGTGTAACTCTACCTCTCTAATTCTTGATTCAATTCATAGGAAAGCCATTGAGTTGACTTATCAGCTCACATGTCCTGCTATCATAAAGTTGCATCAAATATGCTCTTTTACCATTGCAGTACTTACATGGGTTCTGACCCAAGAACTCAAAAATTGTATGCCCAACATAAGTACAGTATTGTCACAATACATATGCCCAGGCTTCTCAGTTAGTGTAACCATCATTATCCCAAGGAATGAATACTGTTCAATAATTTTTTATCCCTACTTCAGTTATTTTGTGAAATGGACTACTATACTGTTTCCCAATACTTTTGATCTCCATTTATCTAAGAAACGTTTGTGAACTTTATTTTTAACTAATACTATTGCTATTTTTGCAATTTTTTCGTCCAGATATTTATTACTTTGCAACTTCAGATGCTATGATTGGTAGTGACTGATTTCTAGTATACTTTCAGTGGGCAATTCTTGTTATCCAACATCATCATCAATGTTATTTGTGTAAATAAAGAATAGATCTAGTATGCCACTTGTTCCATGAAGCCATTCTGAAGCATTTACATTTGGGATTACACACTGATTGCATCCAGTGCACTAACTTTCCAGTCCAACTTGTATAAATCTGTCTATGTTATGCACCACTACGACATAAGAATACCACAAGCATACTACAAATTTTTACACTTAAACTCTGTTGAAAGCTAGCAATTCATTATTATTCAGTTTCAAACCTTAAATTTATTCCCCCTGAATGCAAACCTGGTACAGTATTAGGGTTTTGTCTTGGTTCACATGTAACCATCTTGCTTGCTTCTTGTCAACTCCCCATAGTCTCCAAAGTAATATTTTGGTTTGTTGTCAGTTGTGCACAAGTTGACTACATACATCTTTAGAACAATAAGAGATAGGAGGAAAAATCTTGCCAAAGGATCCCCCTTATCAAGGTGCAAGTAATTGATGTTGAAAAAGTAAAGCACAGTACAGAGGGTATTAGTATACAACTACTTACCAGGATCTCCTAACAGTAAAATTAAGGATGCTTTTATTGTTAGTAAAATTCTACATTGTGTTTTATACTGTACTGTATAATCAAATGAAAGATCGTAAATAAATTCTCAAATGAATTTTGAGAGCTCCATAAATATTACAGCACCTCTCATACTTTTATAGTTATTTGATAACTAGGCATATGGTTTTTCCAGTGTTCGGGACACGAAGTGTGACACTTATCAAAGTCCCCCTAGACTAATTAATCTCCAGGATGCAACCCACAGCTGCACAATTCTCTGGTACCTAGATAAAAGGAAACCTGTCCAAATCTCTCTCTTCTGCTGAAGGAATTAAACCCTGGGACCTTTCGGTTGAAGAGCAACTATGCTGATCACTGATCATTAACTCATGTACTTTCTCCATGAACATGCTTATTTATAATGTTACCCTGACATTGTCCCCCATTCTCGGTTCCTGAACCCACTATATGCCTTGGTAACCCTTTCCACTATTGCCCACAGGATGGGTATGGGGTGCATAATAAATTACTAAAATCAATCTTGAAACTCTTAGGATTAGTAGTGTATCATGGTTTATTTCATTAACTCCAATAAAATAAATAAAATCACAAATAAAAGTTCATACAAATTAAAAACATTGACTATCTTACCTGATATTTAATACTATACAGTATTATAAAAACACAGTATACATTTGATATATTTCCAAAACCTCCAGTATGTACATCATTATTGGAGCTTATTAATAGTATATAACATTACCCGCAGTTATATTGCATTTGAAATTAAAAGATCTAAATTATTTGTTATACAGTACATCCTGCTTTAGTGATTGTATATGTTCTTACAAGACTGTAAGAACTCTTGTATATATACACACAAAAGAAAAGGCAAGCGTTTTAACCAAGGCCCCCCAAAGATTAAAAGCCACTTCTGAAAGGCCAGATAGCTAGACTTTAAAGAATACAGATAAATTTTCAATATTAATTGGTTGAAGTTTTAAACATCAAGAAGTGGCTTGACAACATCACTAAAATGACTTGTTTAACAAATCGGGCATAAAGTTGTATGCATAAATTAACTGGCCAATATTTGACAAAGCATGAACTTACTCCTATTTGTAGTACATTATGTTGTACATGTTAGTGTAGTGATGGAAAATATTGCATGTACTGTAGCCCTTTTCAACTTTTAAGAGATTTATTCCAAATGAATTTTCTTGACATTTCACTTTTGAAATGGTCAAGATATATATATCATATCTTGATTGACTAGATCTGAAAAATAAAATTTACATCCTACTGGAGACGATCAATCCATTTACCAGTAGAGTACTAATTAATGTAACCATCAACAGCATTCCCACAAGACTTGTCGTTTTCAATAAAAAAAAAAAAATATTTTGTACTCTTAGCTTTTATCACAAACTGCATGCTCACATTTAGTCCCCATCCACTTTCCATTTACTCCTCAAATTTGATTCATATATTGCACATTATTAAATTTTAACCAACAAATTTCTTTCAAATTGTATGCATCTTGTCCTACACTGCTCTCCAATTACACTACAAAACACTCAGGTGCTGCGTCCACTCATTTCTTCATCAAATTATAATCTTGAACAATACTTCCTCATTCTTCTTTCACTTCCTTGATCCCACTCTTAAATTTTGTTCAAGACAGCTTTATGGCCTAAATTTAGCAGTATTCATTACTAAATTCTCCTATAGTACTGTATTTAACACTACTAGTACATCAAGACTGTGGATAATTTCCACAAGTGGATTTGCATTTATTGGACTAGATTCTCATCTTATTACTAAAGGCACAAATAACCCAATGTTTTGTAAAACTAACCTTTTACTATACTCTGTTTCCTCCTGGCTAATGCCTCCCACACACATTTAAAATGCAGTAATAATAATAATGATTGAAAAAGCAAGGCTTCTTGCACATTACAAATGTTTATAAAACCAGTTTATCTAACCATCCACTTCCACATTCTACTCCACTTTCTCATTTCCCATTTTAACTTTCATGTTCTCTAACAGTCATTACTACTCTAACTCTCCAATACATTCACAATGTAACCCTGAAAGTTCCCTTCATGTAAATTTTACCTTGCTACTAAAGCATTATCTTAAATGGCAAGAAAAGGCAAGACAAAATCTTTTGACTTTTATTTTTCAGATTAGAATGTTTGGTTGAAGGTTGTCCTAGAATATACCACAGTATCTTCAAATATTTTATAGATGTCACATTAGTAGAAGAGCCAGTTGATGCAACAAGTGCACGGAATCTAGCAAACTTGTTGACATTCTCTTGGATGTAACTCCTAGCTGATCGTCTTCTTGACTACCATGACAACAGCACTTGCTAGTAACAGCAATCTCTTCAGTAGATATTATACCAAAAAAATTCCCCAGCACTAATTTCATCACACTTTAAGATTCAAACAGCAGTAAATGATACAAAGAAAAACATTTTCGTAGCATTGAAAGACTTGCTACTTTCTAGGGGAGAGCAGCATTTCCACATCCTCAAACACGAAAAAATAACAAAAAATAAAAATAAAAAATATATATATTAAAAAAAAAAGATAAAGTTCAGAGGAAGGTTAGGATAAGTCTGCAATGCGTATGGAATCAATGGAAGGTAGATTGCTACTAATATTCTTGTAAAGGGGGAAGTCTTGTGAAGTGGGTATACAGCATCAATATGTAGTACAGACATTATCCTCAAATGCACATGAGATACCAAACTGATGCGATTGCTGGGTACTAAGGGTCAGTATTTGTGTTATATATAAATATATATGTAGATATATCAAAGTAAAGAAATCTGATACAAACGTTTTATATGTTGAGCCTTCGAGTCATTTTTATATATTTCCACTCCTTGATGGCCATTAATATAAATAAATTACATATGTAATATATATATTATAATGTATATATACAGTACATATATTTATTTACTTATATGTATATACCGGTATATTGATGGGTGCACATAAGACATTAAAGCTACATTGCAATTATGGATTAGACTGTAACCAAAAAAATTCTGTCAAGCTTTACAAAAGGGCCATTTGTAATTACCTAATTTCTTAGGCACAGAAGTAACGTCAAATAACCAAAATAACACCTAATTACACACTTAAACGCATTCAAACACTGTGCTAGGCAAATCTCATTTCGACCATCATAAATCAAAGCCAGGGCTCCTTAGTATCCAGCACTCTTAGAAATATTTGCATAAAAAGCCTCATCAAACCTGTAAACATCAAACTTAATCATGTGCTTGAGAAGGTGTTTAACATTTTTAATGCCAAAAATTGGTTGGGAACATGAAATGACTTCTGCCACAAAAGTCAATTTGTAATTCTCAACAGCAGAGCGGACACCGTATTAGCAGGGTTCCGTTGAAATGATACAAATGAATTGAAAATGAACGACTACTCTTCCAGAAACACCAGCTAGAAGGCAATAAGACAGTCCCATCTGCCAAGTGCAATACTATAACAACTTAAAGAATAATAAAAAATAGGACTCTTAATGCATGCAACAAGATAAATAGGCTGCCAAAAACAGCAAAGGGAAAGTTCGGTAAAGCTTTGCATGTCACGAATAAAAAATATGGCAAAAAATTGTTCCATTTTATTAATTCAAATAGACTATAAACTCATTGATAACAAAAAATAAAAATAAAATAAAAAGAGGATGATTCACTGCTTGCATGATCCAGTTACACAAATAAATATTAAGGGAAAACAATAATTTCACTTTCCTTCTACCGTTTTTTTTGTCTAAACAATGCATCAAAAAGTGGCTATATGACTTGTAGCTGTTCCCCTAAATGGTTTTGAATACGATGACAAGGGTCTGGAGCTCAATATAATAAATTCTTCTATAATTCTTCCTCTTCATTCATACACGATATAAACTTCTCCATTTACTGCTATTAGAGATCTGAAACAAAGAAAAATTTCATTAGATAATGTAAAACTTATAACTAGGAATTTTGTGTGTACCTATAACATCAATTTTAAATTATTAAATTTGTAATCTTATAGCTTGTCTACATTGGGCTTTAACATCTGGGGTATGCATACCTTAGGTGCTCTTTCTTGTACTTATATGTTCCAAGGTTTCTATGTACAGTATAGGAATGGGAGGCTGACTGACTACTCCAATTCTAGTCGCCATATCACAGATTAGACTATTGGGGGATCTTTCTTATGAAGACACATTGAAGTGTCTCAATCTGAACTCGCTAAACACGCAGGACAATGGAGGTAGATGATTGAGGTATTTAAGTTGTGTTGGAGGCATAAATAAACGTCTGAAACTGCCAGATTAGAACCACTAACAATGGGTACTAGTTGGAGACATTTTAGGAGGGATATAGGAAATTAGTGGGCTTCAAATTGTGTTGTGTGTCCTGGGAATGGGATATCAGCTAGCATTATGGGGACAATCAGTTTAACAGGTGTCGTTTTCAAGAATAGATTGGACAGGTAGACGAGTGAGAAGGGGTCGATTTAAACAGAACCCACCTAGTATGAGACAAAGGACCTGGTGTACTCCTTGCTAATTTATAACCCTCTCATTGGAGCAATCTCGGTGAGATGGCTTCCGGGAGTCACTCCCCCACAACAAAATATATTAACTAGCACTCAAAATGGTGAAAAACCTTAAAATACTTTAACGTTACAATTTATTTTTGTAAATTTACTCCAATATATCTAATTATATACCTTTTTACACACTTCTGTACGAAACCATCAGAATTACATCAAGAAAAATAGCTTTAGCATGATTATTCAATAACTGCTTAACAATTGCAAAAGGAATTACAGTGAAAAATAATAATAATAATAATAATAATATGTAAAAATGTTACGCCAGAATGCTTATTTGGTGCAACTTCACTCATCCAGATTATTTTATACCTGTTATAGCCTCAATTCACCTGTAATATATTTAAAAATATAGCAACATGACTAAAGAATGAAGGTTCTAAAAATGTGGCCAAAGATATTAGTAATGGTACTGTCCCATTATACAGTATGTCTGCAATTCAATCATTAAAAGGAATTAATAGTGTTGATTAAAGATCTAAAAAGAAGCTATGATTAATGAGAAAAATTTGGTTATGTATTGGGGAGAGAAACAATGTACCATTTTACGAGGAATACAATACAAGCGTAGCAATGGAACAAACAATTGATGTAAGAGGGAAGAAACGAATTATCCTTCTGGATTAAATAGGCAGCTGAACTAGGCGCCAAATTCCGATACCTGGAAAATTACTATGTAGAAAATTTAGATTTGGATGGACTGTCCAACAAGTTGGACAGTCTGTTCCTGATATGACCTTGACAAAATGTGGACTAAAATGTTGATGTCAGGAAGCAACATTAATGCTGTTGGACCATAAGCGAGCTGATTTTGGTGTAATAGGAGTGGACATGCTAGTGAGAAGACGCGTGGGTCTGGTCACCAACTCCAAGTCTCAGATTGCACAGATAAATGAAAAATATGATTAAACCATAAAGAAAAGACATCCCTTACCAACATTCCCATCCACCACAGAACCCAGTGAGGAAAAGGTGAGGGGTCAGATGCAGAGCACAAACCCTAGAAATAGTAAGCATAATACACACATTCATCACTAAATGAATACGCAGCAAGGACAAAATCTGTGCCAACTCCTCAATGCCTGCTAGACACTAGCACAGGTAGCTAGACCGGCCAATTCATAAAGCCACAATTCACAATTGCTCCCCCCCCCTCCCCACACCCCTACCTCAAGATGAAGCACCATGTCATCCGAGCCACAGCTTCCAAGCATAGCACCCAAGGAAAGAAGAGTATCTTCATAAGCCATGCTTAACGGCTTTTTGGATGAAAACACACTAGCCTCCTTCATATCGAGGAACTGGCTATAAGGGAGCTTTAGCAACTGACAAAAAACTGGCAACAAGTCCCAGCACCTTAAGAGAACTCTAGGCATTTCATTAGTCGAGGCACATCAGAAGCAACATGAGAATAGCATATGGAATCTACTTTCTACCAGAGGAAGGTGGCCTCATTATATTGATAACATTGCTGTCTAAATTATAATTACATAATATTATAGAACGTAAGATGATGAAGTGCAGGGTGTGCTTTAGGAAAGAGTGAAGGCATTACATATAAATATAAAACCTGTTGCATATCCTAGCATGGCCGCGCATCACAAAGAATATATACTGCATGGGAACTTTGTAGTTTCACCAAACATCTCGGAGCACCTTCAGTGTATACACAGCCACCAAATTTGTAAGGTTAGATTGAAGATTTTATACAACACCAATTGGAAACTACTCAACACACTTTTAAAAAGTGGGATGGTATACACTTTCTATCTCTTTGTATATAAATATCAAAATAAGGCACCAAGCTGGGAAGACTATGTAGGAGGATATTCAAAAGGTCCTAAATATCACTAAATACCAATATGAGAACAAAGGGATGCAAGACAACACATGGCAAAGGTATCAGAATTGCTAATCTTGGTGCATAAATTATGGTTCACTTCCAAAATAAGCTGATTAAATATCATTGTAGTATTTTCTTTCCCTTTTCTATGTAAGGTAAAATAGAGCAGTCATTTACACACCAATTTCTTTTTTGAAATATACTCAAGATCATTTCCAAATGTTTTAATACGAAAATTTCATGTTACAACTCTTATACATAGGGTCACAAAAACAAAGTGAATACATATCTGTACCTAAAACAGAATCGATCAATATCAATCAATATCTATCAATCATTCAATTAATCTCTCTCTCTCTCTCATTGTATAGGCTAGATGCTTGGGGCTAGCCTCGACCAATTTTTAAGACGATACATGGAGGGCATGAAAGTGTCATAGGCTAGTTGGGGTTGGCTCCAGCACCACCTTTTAAACCCCATGCACTGCACTAACCACCACAAGTCTGTTGATGGGTGGTGCACCGACTGCCATAAGGCATTTTTAAATATAGGGAACTATTCAAAACTTCCCAAAGGAACATGGGATTTACATCCTGATCCTCAGGACTACAGTAAGCAAACACCATCCTTAAATAAAATTGTCCGCATCTCTCCTGGCTGCAAGAGCCTCAGTACTGCTAGAGCGACCAAGGTTGGCACATGCAGCAGAGCTCACAGCACAGCACAGCTGTGCAGGTCAGGGCCACAGCACCACTTAATAATGATGGATAAAATAAGCAACTGCAATTATTGTCCAATGATAGTGTCATAGATGATCCTGACTATAATAAAAACTAAGTACAAGGTTCAGATATCAGAGAACACAATGCTAGATACAATGTTCAGAGCAGGAGGTAGGTACTCACGATATACGGCCGAGGTTTAGTGTATCTATGCATCATGCAATGTGACCTTGTGTTCCATTAGAAAATAATTTGTGGAAAATTATTCATATTCATAATTTAGTGACCAGAATCCGATAATAGCAATGTAGTGGTTAGACTTAGCGATGTGCACACAGTACACTCAAGGCATCATGCAGCATCGGGTAAAGTTGTCGTCTGGGCATAGTAAGAGGCTCTATACTGTGTTAAGATTTCATTACTTCCCCTACAGAATTGCTTAGTGGTTCATTATGGAGTATACAAATATAGAAAGCTATATATGACATGTATATACAGTAGTTTAATACAAAAATCACTATTATTGTTCTAAGAATATAATATACCAATCACAAATATGAGCACCATACTTTAAAGTAAAGCAATGTTTCACACTAAAAAAAAAAAAAAAAGGCATATGGAAACAATTATGTAAGCATATCGCTGCAGCAACTCCCGCACCACAGAGCTGCTTATCACTCGTCGACTACGAATCGTCAAACTTTGTCGCTCCATCAGAGCCCTAGAAATAGTAAGGCTCAGACGCATGCATTTTTTCCCCACAACGATCAGGAAACACATTAACATTAATATAAATAGATTTTTTTTTGGGGGGGGGGGATAATTTTTTTTATGTGCACTTTGTACATTTATATTTTTTATGTCCATCATATCAAATAGGTGCACAGAACATAGGTTAAAAATTATTAGCATCTATTGCAAAAGTATGATGGGGAGCAGGCACAACTGCATACCTGTATCTTGTACCGAACAAACATTTCAAGCCAAGCCTGGCAAGCAACTCCAGACGAGAGGTTTAATTATCAAATATGAGCATAACCCCTGGAAAGCAAAACTGTTCGTAATGTCTGGACGAATGTAACAGGATATTAAAACTTATGATGTTTAGGTCAAATTAATGTGCTGTAAAACTTTTGTATTCACAGAGCAAGCAAAAGGGTTAATATCTAAAAATTAAAATGTATATTAATATTTATATGTTAACACTATCGCTCGCCGTTCGTGCGCACCACAGAAATGGCGTCATGCGCCGTTCGATGCGGGCGAGCGTGCAGTGACACCAAAGCGTATACTCGTTTCAGTTTTTTCCAACTTAATTCTCGTGCTACATCGCTCGTTTTGGTATCATTGTGTTCGCAATAGAATTCCCTACAGGAATATATGCATATAAGGTTCAAAAGCCAGGCGTGACTCCCCACAGCAAAGTCTGAAGTCGATTAAGTTACCTGTGAATGAGGTCCAATTGGCACACCTGCAGACTAATGTATATACTCGTTCAGTTTGATAACATAAATTTCCTGTTACGTGTTTCAAATTGTTCGCAAAATAAAGGCACGTATTTTAAAACTAGTCCCATAATAGAATAAATGGAATTTAACAAATATTATGACTTTTGGACGCTCATCACCACAAAATTATTTATACCAGTATATTTCCAATGTTCTGACAAATTTTCGTGTTACTATTTCATTCATTTTGGTATCAAATTGTTCGCAATATAAAGGCGCGTATTTTAAAACTAGTCCCATAGTAATAGAACAATAAATGGAATTTTAGCAAATATTTTACAATTTGGACCACAAAAGTATTTATCTTTCCAGTGTTCTGACACTGATACTGGATCAATTTTCGCGTCACGTCTTTCATTTTGTTATCAAATTGTGCGCAATCTAAAGGCGCTCATTTTGAAACCACTCCCAGATTGACCGGATAAAATTAAAATTTTTAACAAATATTTTAATGAGTGACTCTGGACCTCGTCACCCGAGACGACTCTAGAGAAAAATGAGTGACGACGGGCGGAGGCAACGGAGTGCGATAGTGTTAAAAGCTATTTCTACAGTTTATGTACAATACAATGCCAGATGTAATTGTGGCTCATAATTTTGACATTGGAAAAAAAAAAAAAAAAAAAAAAAAACTTAATACATTTTCATCTTTGCTTTAATAGTAAAGCCATTCACAGACATGACCTTGTACACACCACTAAGCATAGGAATTTTTTTTGTACAAGGTAAGACAAAGGCTGAAATCTAAAATTTTAAAACTAATTTAATCTTGTTCAGAAAAATTAACACCGCCTCGTTTATATAACATGATAAATTGGAGCCCCTCGGGAGAAGTCACCAAATATGACTATAAACTTATTTCAAGCATCAACTACAAACTTTGTCAAACGAGACAAGATTATAATTTACAGATTTATTACATTCACTCAATATACAAAGGTCACATCAATGATATTTTGCTGCAAAATGTGAGTGAAACAATGTAGAAAATGCATTTATAAAGAACTGCCACTATTATGACTTTATGCCCCCCACTTCTCTCCCCCATATAAAAACTGGTTGGAAGCTAATGCTCTAGGTCCCAATGCTACTATGCTAAGGGCATAAATAATGAAACAGCTATATGGTCATTCAGGAAACTGTCAGCTGCACATTTTTAACCACCTTGAATATAATAGAATACACCAAGTGAAGCAGATGTTAAAAAGGAATACTGTGCTGTCATGACAGTACAGTATTACAAAATAATATGATGTACATCGGTAGACGATGAGACACAATAATGTGGCTGAAGATATGATGACAAAACCCCACACATCAGAAGATGGAGAAACGACAAAGTTTCAGTCCGTTATGGACCATTATCAAGTCATTTGTTTTATTATCACACACAACCTTATAATGGTCCAGGATGGACCGAAACTTTGTCGTTTCTCCATCTTCTGGTGTGTGGTTTGGTCATCTTGATTTACATCCCTTAATATTATTTTCACTCCTCATAACATGAACTTTTGCAATACAGTACCATTCTGCTCAATATGCAATACTTATCACAATTTCACACACACATCCCCGAATGGAAGGAAAACCAAGATAGCCAAGAGAAATCAAGAAATTTATCACCTTTACAGAAAATACTGAGCATCGACTCCGCTTGGCTATGCAGCAAGACGTCGACCTAGTTTATGAAATGCCCAGGAATTCGCTGAAGTTTGTCAGCTCACACAATTATTACTTGCAAAATATAGAAGATGCAACACAAGCTTGATTTTTCCCTCCTCTACGACTACAAATTTTTTCTTGGTCCTTACCCCCAAAGAGGACTTCAATCATTTAACAGCCAGAAAACACACCTGCATGGCAAATACTGTCTCCATCCACATACATGTTGAGTGATGCTAGATGTGTAGTGCAGTCAATATTGTGGAAATGAAGCATGTGACCTCATCATCAGACTGGAGTATGGTCTAGGCTATGGTACACGTCACCCCATGGCAGGCGACTGTGCTAAGGGCATCACCCTAAGCAAAGTAGTGCAGGAGAATGGGCTGAAAGACAAAAATAAACACCTCCCCACAATGCTAGTCGAAACAAGTACAGTACTGTATAACCCAACAGCTGAAAGAAAAATTTAATAGTAAATCTCTGCTATTATGCACTTGCCAGTATCTCGACAACAATGTGTGTATGTATGTATGAATATGTATGTGTGTGTATATTATTATTTTATATATATTATATATATATATATATATATATATATATATATATATATATATATATATATATATATATATATATATATATATATATATATATATATATATATAAAATAAAACTGTTTAAGATTCTCAAAACATTTTCAATTATGGATGAATAAATGAAGCTCATGCTTAAATATGAAAAATATAAATTCATCAATACAAGACGTGTCCAAATAGTGTTTAAAATAAATAAGCTTATGTACTGACTAATTGGATAGCACCATTAAAAAAAAAATCTGATTGGACAAATACATTATAAGTAATTTATGGAGGACAATTAAAGAGTATCCCCTTTCCAAATTCATCAGCTGGGAATATCCCCCCAAAAAGTCAACTTTATGAAATTGAATTACACTAAAAAGCACAAAAGTGCTTCCTCCTCTGCTTAATCATTTATGTTAAACAGCCTGTCACATTACTGTATCCACCCCAGTACAGTCCACTTCATTATACAAGTATAGTACATTATTCTATTTCATATGCACAATACAGTCTTGTTGACTATGCAAGATCAACTACTGAAATCCTACCTCTTACAAAACAGCTGTTGGCACCCATAAACAGCCACCATAAATCACAAATGGCAGACCTGCACCCAAAATAACTTGCTGCACAGGAAAACCTTAAAATACCCAAAATGGTTGTCATACCCACTCCAGCCTTATATCTTTTAATATGATCCATATACAGTATTACAACAAAAATTTATTTCCCAAAATGATAATAGCAAAGCAACAGAATTGTGTGTAACACTACTGAGGTACCGTTTATGATCTCTAGGTACAGTACATGTATGCACCTTTCTAATAGTAAAGATATTGGCACTGAACCTGTAACATACAATTGTAGACCAGCAAAAAAACACTAGGGAATTTGGGAAGAAGAATGAAAGCCATAATACCAAATACTATAAACCATAAATCCACACATTCATTTCCTAGAGGACGTCATGCTAATTCTGCATCTTATTCTTTAACCAAAAGAGGATCTCGGAAGCCACACTCGAGTCACTTAGGCTGCAAGAGTATGAAACACTCCTTAACAGACATGCAGTGTTTCCAGGAGCAAGAGGATGGACCAAAACTCACATTTTGCCCATCTTTCACTCTTCATATCCATCCACCAGACTAGTGTCCCCTTCCCCTGCTAGAGCCATTTTTTGATTTACAATTGTATTTGAATAAAATGATATTGATGATTGCATCATCAGTAGACAGAGCAGATGTTGCTAGATTATTTTTTCCAACTTCATGTGATAATTGGTGGGGATACATCCTCAAATATAAGAAAGTTTCAGGGAAGTTGCTAGTCAATCAACGGAGAAAAAATTACTGAACCCCCCCCAAAAAAAAAAACAACAACACAATTACGAGTTTATTGGTATTTGTGTAAAATTAAATACACTAACATTCGTTACCAAGTTTATTTGATATGTAATGACAAATTGCAATGATAGAAAACATTCTCATTATAATGTCTGGAGTGTCTCATGCAGGTGATGTTCCTGCTATACTTAAGAGGCTGGGAGTGCCAAAATATTCAAATTTAATGGAAATTATTTTAAAATACTAAACAAATCTCCAATTATTTGGCAACAGTGTCGTGAAAATTTCATCCAAATATGCTTATATATATATATATATATATATATATATATATATATATATATATATATATATATATATATATATATATATATATATATATATATATATATATATATATATATATATATATATATATATATATATATATATATATATATATATATATATATATATATATATATATATATATATATATATATATATATATATATATATATATATATATATATATATATATATATATATATATATATATATATATATATATATATATATATATTATATATATATAATATATATATATAATATAGTTAAAAATATATATATATTAAAAAAAAGTTCTGATTATAAGAACAGCTCCTATTAACTGGAACCGAGGGGTAATGCAGTAATAAAGAGATGGAAGTAACTGTCCGACACACAAAGAATAGTAAGGAGGGTCCACAAAGTGGATATGCAGCTGGTGTCTTTCTAGTATTAGTAAGTAATACTTAATAACAAATAATAATGAGTAAGTACAGTGGCACCTCGATTAACGAGTGGCTCTATCTACGAGCATTTCGCGTAACGAGCGAGCCACTGGCAGAACATTTGTCTCTACTAACAAGCTTTTCCTCGATTAACAAGTGTTTCCGCTGGTTCTCGGACACCTTTTACAACTGTTTTTTGCTCTTGTTTTGCAAGACGAGTTTTCCACATGATGCGCTCGGTGCTGGAATGGATTAAACTCGTTAATCGAGGTACTGTACCACTATGTTATCATGCTGTATTTTGTTATATATCATATAAATACATTGTCCAATGCCAATATCTGATACTTCCCCTATGTTCATTTTTTGTGTGTGGAGGGGAAGGATGGGGGGGGGGGTTGCAGTATGTGTGTTTTTTCCTCCCTTGTTTTTAATCCGATTTTGTTGCGGCTTCTACATCTTGGGAATGCATTCCTGTCACTAAGGATGTGAAGGTGCAACAATATTGGTCAACATGTAAATCAGTCACAGGTGGCGGAGCTTTAATTAATTTTTTGGGGGTGGATTTTTTTCACAGATTTCAAACTATTTTCTTTGTCTTTAGGTTGTTTTGATTTGGGACCAGATTAGGGCTTTATCAATTATAAAAAGTATACGTATATATCCTCTAAATAATTATCCCTACATTTTGGGGGGGGGGGGATATTTTTTCTTTACTTCATTTCAACATATATTGACCTACAACTTTCACATATTCGAGTACAAACGCCAAGCAATATTTATTAAAACTTTCAAGACATGAAATCAATTTGAATTACTATATTTATTGTCGAGAACTTTACCTTCATTTTTCTCCAACAGGATTTTCAACTTTGAGAGACTGTAAAAAATTAAGTTTCTGAGCAATTCCCATCATTTTACACATGTGCAAATTTTTTAGTCGCAAGCTCCAAATCTGAGTTCTAATGTTTCCTCTACAAGTTTGTTCATAAACCCATAACTTTGGGAGTTATAAATTTGTCTAAAAAACAATGCATATTTTGACGGCAGCAGTGATTTTTTTTAATCAGTAAAGTATAATTTGAAACATGATTTTCTATGGAGGAAAATGAACTTTGTGCACCATTCTGGCCTCACAATGAATTGAATAAAAACTGGTGAAATTTTTTATCTGTAAAAGCAATGGAATTTGTTGCAATTTTCACTTTTAAAAACATTTATTTTTCCCTGTTAATTTTTGAGCAATGCTCCATTAAAGTTGGAGCATTGATCATGTGGATTATGCACAAAAAATTTGAGTGTGTTTGAGGAAGGGCGAGATCGTATAGATCTCGGCCTCTTAATAGAGTCAACAGCATCGCCAGTTGGTGTTGCTCTGGGAGCAACACCAACTCTGTGTGTGTGTGTGTGTGTGTGTGTGTGTGTGTGTGTGTCACACACACACACACACACTCGCTACGCATACCTACACTTTCATACACATGCTACTTTCGGTAGAAGTTTTGAGCACTTAGAAGAAAAAGTCATCTTGAAAGTGGGTGGAATCAACGGGAATTTATAGTATCTTGCTACTTTAACCCAGAACTGCTTTGTCAAATTACCCACGAGTCACTGATTTGTCCCTCTGGTTGAGAGCCTTTGCTATTATGCCAGTGAACATAAAACAAACCTATATATATATATTAACATACAAAATGGTTATTTATACAAACACAACATGTTTTAAAGACCATCATGTAGAGTACAGTATATATTTTCCCAGTTTAAAATGAAGGGCTTGAACATTAACAATGTTGGGAGCAGTCTTCAGAATTCCTAGCACTGATGTACAGCCGTTGAATTCGACTTCAACCTTCGAAACTTGATACCAAGTAATACGCTTAAAAAAATAATTAACTAATATTAACTGGATATTTCAATATTGGCCTATGTCGACCTAGTAACTCACCCATTATCAGCTTTCTCAGCTGTATGAACTATATGATTTTGCCCATAACTAAACCCACCAGAATTACTGAAATGACTGCCTGCACCCATTAAGACTAACATAACCTCTTCACTAACCTCCGGAATAATCACTGATGACATATTGGATTACCACCCGACAGTTCTCCTAACCAGCATTTCTAAAGCTCTTCAAACTAGGAAAATGAGTTTTAGACTGCATGCTGAAGCCTCCAGAAGTAACATTGTTGCCGCTGCTGGTTACATTAACTGGGAATAGAACTCGGTAGCTGGCTAACATCAATCTAGGTGAGCAGACATTTCTTCACAAAACTAAGATGTTCTTTTTACAGTTATATAGTCTAATCATGTGTGCACATTTCCAGAGCTTTTATTTGTATTATGTGAAAAAAAATTAAAGGAATATTGAAAAACACATGAGGGATGTTGAAGTGTTCAAAAATCATTAATATATTCAACACCATTATGCATCTAAACATTTGATTTGAAGTTATACTGCAGTAAATTCGTCTGTGAACATTTTCACACTAAATATATTATTATAGCCCAAGAATTAACCAAGAAAACCTAAAGAGTACAGTATAAACATCTTGGGTGAAGCTGAGTAGGATCTTAACCACTCCCCTCCCTGTACAGCGCACCTGTTACATGCGACACTCCCGTGGTGTGCACACAACTAAATTAACTAAAAAAAAACTTTTTCTTCCAAATATTGTTAAAATGTATTTTCTGATCACAGGGAAAATAAAATAACAAAATTGCATGACACTTTAGCTGTGGTGGAGCAAGGAAATATGATGCTGCCACCGGTTCACTGGTTCAAGTTCAATGGTTACTAAATAATGAATATGAATAATTTTTCCATATTAATTCATTTTCTAAAGGAACATATGGACCAATTGCATGATGCATAGCGGTAACAACTGCGAGAGTGGGCTATTTTTATCCATTTTGCTTTGGGAACATCGTCGCCAGGATTGGGTTTATCGATACCTGAACCTTGTACACGATCTTTTCCCATTGTCAGAATTTTTGATGGCATCAATTGTAGATACTTATTTTTTAGTCCTCATTAAGTGACATTGTGTCAGACAAGCTGCACAGCAGTGCTGAGAGCTGAAACAACATGCTCTACCCATGGTTGCCATGTTAGTCCTGAGGCTCTCACATCCAATATGAGTCACAATGAATTTTTTCAAAGAAAGTACGCGTAAAAGTGTAAAACCAACGTGTAAAAGTAAGGTGTTTGATTACTGGAGAACAGGATGCAAACACCTGAGTTTTAAATATTATGCAATATGAGAGAAAGAAACCTGGTTGTAATGCATAGTTGAAAGGTTAAGATGACCGACACACTTACGTCAGGTGTACACCGATTGTTGGAATGTCAAAATGCCGAGATTTATTTTTGGTACACAGTCCATCAGTCAAGTGAAACTAAAAATACCACAGCAAAAATGAATCTTCTATGCTGTGTAAATACATTTTTTAGTGCCTCTACCTTTAATATTGAGCATACTACTGTACTTACTTTCAATCTTGTGTGGTTCGTGTTGCTTGGGATGATGTAGTGGTGAGATGGAGTTAAAACCTGGCGGTGGTGAGGTTGGGGGCCACATGGGTGCTACGGAGCGCTGTGTGGGAGCCGTAGGACCTGAGGGGCCAGTGTGAGGACCCAAACCAGTTGGTAAGCCAGATAAGTTGTATGGCATTAGATTATTCCAGAGAGGGTGGGGACCTCCCTCTGTGAGCTGCTCCATTGTTTTCATCCAGTGGGGAGGAGAATCTGACCGTGAATCTGTCAACTGTCCTGATGATACAATTGCTGGATCAAGAACTGTCAGATCAGGGGCACCACTGTTACTCCAACCTGAAAATATGGATTTTATTTTTTTTAAACATAAGACCTATCTACATAATAAATAGGTACAACTTTAAACTTTCAATATCCAAGACTCAAACTTTTTTGTGCTGCTAATTAGCTTATCTCTGTGAATGTAACTTTTGATAATTCCACTACAACTACTGAGACCCTTTTTTGATATGGCTTAAAGTACACTACACAAGTTTTTAAATTTTCTTCCATAAAAATAGACACCTCTGTTCATAATTTTTTTTCAGTACTGCATCTAAGATACAAGAACATATCTTACCATTTGTTAATCCATCATTAATACCATTTAGAACAGAATTAAGAGCATATTTCTGAATGCAACAAGATGCTTTGACAACATACATCTTAAGGTCCCATCCATATTTTATCATATGTTTATGTCATATTAATCTGCAGTTACATTTTAAACAATTGAGATAAATATTTTGACACTATACTACAGAAAGTCTTCAGTATGCAAACAACTTTCATGCAAACACTGCAATAATCAAAGAGATGCATGGGAAAAATAAACAATCCAGACACAAAAGTACAGTATATCTTCCCACTATTTAAGAAATAAAGTGAGATATTTTAACATTAATATTGAATAATTTCTCCACTTCATTTCCACAAATGTAGCAAATGATGAACTCGTCCTTGGATGCAAGAATGTTTAATATAACCTTACTGGATGGAAAGATCATGGTAGAATGTTAATAAAACATGCTAAAACAGAATACTCCATGTATCTTAGTCAACTGGTAGGGTTTAGCATAATCTCCTTAAACAGCAACTCCATGGAAGTTCGATGACACATTTTAGTATTATCCACGATTTCACAGGGATTGGTTAAATGACGCTAATATGCCTAATTTGATCTCCATATTTCACTTAACATTCTACACAGTCTACATAATGCAAGTTTTGAGAAACATGCGAGTAGTTTAGGCAAAGATTACAGCTTTATTGATTAACCATTTATACATTTCTGCAATTCATATTATTTATAATTATTAATAAATGAGTAATGTCAAAATGTTTATAAATTTCTGTATATTCAACAACAGCAAAGTTTAACGACGATTGCCTGTACCAATTCTGTACATTTTTTTAGTACTCTAACGCATTTATTTCCCAAACATCTTGAAGTGGTGCCATTACTATAATACTGGTATAGTGAATGAAGAAAATCAAACTAAAATACAGTATCCTAGGTTCAAATGGTGGGAGAGTTAGTTTCTGCACAGCTTCCTGCCAAATATTGTACTGGACTGCATTTACAATAAGTATTAGCACTAAATTACACAATATAAAATTAACAAAACAGATCAACATGAGAATCCATTAAAAAAAAAAGTACTGTGTGCAAAATCTAGTATATACAGAAAAATTTGTTATGCAAATCTTGCATTATGTCTAGCATTTAGAGTAATTGTATGTCATCATTCTGGAGCTAAAATTATAAGTGTCTGAAACAAGTGTCCTCCAGCAGCATTAAATAATTACACCACTAGTTCCTGACACTGTTCGTTCATCTGAGTGACAGTAGCTCTGTGATTCACCTTAGCCAGCATCCCCTAAACCTACCAACAACGTTTCATTATGTTTACACCAACTTCCCTCATTTTATCATGAGCACGTGCATTAATTTCTTTATGCTGGGATAGCTTCCATTGGATTATTTATTGTGAATATCAATTGTATACATAATATTCAGCATTGCCAACTCTCTTGATATTTGCTTTCTAACCAAGTTATGCCTAGCATCACAAAGGAAATTCACTCCACAACTGCTGCCACTCCCAAAAGTGAGCATATTTGACTCATTATAAATGTGGTACTGTACAGCTAAAAATACCACAGAAAGCCTACAAAGTTAAAGGGGTCCTGGCAAGTCTCTGCCACCAGTATTCCACTGCAGCCTTAAAAATGTGATTTCATCATTTGGTTTGAAAAATTATATTGTCACATATCCACAACCAAGCTGGAATTTGAAGCGATGCAATATGACAAAACATGGAACTCCCCATAAAGATGAACATGCTTGAACTACTAGCCTTATTCTTGCCCAAGAATGACTGACATAGTAGTAGTAGTAGCAGCAGCAGCAGCAGCAGTAGGCCACTCAATGGTTAACACAGTGCTTCTCTATATCTGATGTGGTGGACTGGCAATATATTTCTAGTGTGACGGACTGCTACCATATTTGTTCCTATCATATTCATATAGGCATGTAAAATGCTAAGTTTAGTGCACTAGGCTATGTTCCCATTTAAATACATTGAAGATTGACCAAAAGGCTCTGCATCTGAGGATACTATGAAATTTGTACAATCATTTGTTTTCCACGCAAGAAAATATTACTGTATTTTAACATTCATAGTAATATTTAGTTGTATATTATACATTATAATGAATTTAGTCAAAGCTGGCAGATGTTTGTTTATTCTGTAAATAATTTTTTTTCTGGGTAGTACACACTTGTCAAATACTTATGCCTCAAAAAGTATAGAAAATGGCTATTATTCTCCCTCAAACTTTGCTTTGTCCTTTGCCTAAGGCAGTTTAGGAACGATGTCTTGAAGGTACCTGAAGGCTGCCGACTTATGAAAATGTGTCACAGCTCTACATAAGGAGCTGACAGCCTTAAGGTACAGTACCTTCAAGATATTTTTCCTAAGCTGTCTTGGCCAAATTAAGTAATTATCGAAAGAAAGCACCAAGTCGGGAAGACCAAGTACCATCAGTGTCACTGCATATTCGAAAGGGGCTAAATATCACCGAGCACGCCAATACGAGAACAAAAGTACACGAGGCGAGCGATATCAAAAGGCATCAAATTCGCCAAGGGTTCTATCGAGAGAGAAATGACCATGAGGGATAGTTGGGAAGAAAAACACACGAACGACCTGAAAATTGGGACACTCAATGAGATACATGACTTTAAGAGGGGCAATGCAGTTTGGACAAAAAGTAGCAGGGAAGAGTTCCATTAAGTGTCCGTGAGTGAAACGTGTAGGGGTCAGTATGTAACTTCGCCAGAGCCGTTTCCCCACAGTGTTATGGTAGGAGGAGGAATAAGGAATGCCTTCTCGGGAAATAGGACAAGTGTGGACAGCCTCCTTAATGGCAGTGTCCGCATGCTCATTTAAGGGAATACAGTACCAATATGGTTGGGAACTCGGCAAAAGGTAACCGACCTAAATCTGCTAGAGATTAGAAACAGCCAATATTGGATTTCGCTTACCACAGGCTGTACGAGATAAAATGACTACAGAGCCATGAGAGCACCAAGTTAACCAAAGGAGTGCTGTCGATGAAAAAGCAGCCGACAAAGAGCATACAAAATCATATACAATACAGTTGAGACATGAAGATGCTGGCCTCTGGAAATAAGCAGCACATATAGGTTTAGTCTGGAAAGACCACAGAGTATTCAGCACCACAGGCAGATTTAGAACTCGCCTGTGAAGAAGGCAACAAAATTCCTGCAAAAGAAAACATGCAAGGAAAAGACACTTCATAACAATAAAAGGGGTAGAAGCCTGTACCATGTGGGTCAAAGTCTTGCAAAACTTTCCAAGAAGGACTCTCCATGCGGGCAAAGATGGAACGACAAGGAGAAACCTTGTGAACCCATATAGAAAAAGGAAGGTGGTGAAAGGAAACAAGGCCTACTAGAGGGAGCAATGGTCAAAGCAGGCAAAAGTTAGATTGAGGATGTTACAGAGATCTTGTGAGGTAGTGAAGGCGGTATCCTGCCTTTACTATAGGATCCTGACAATCCTGTAGCAACATGAAGCCAGTTTCAACATACAAGCTCTGGGTAGGGGATGAACAAAAGGCACCATGGAACCTTTGCTGCAGAGCATCATGATGACAAAGGGTCAAAGGAGAGGCAGATGAGGTGGCAGGACAGCCATAATTCAATTTAGACAGCAATAGACAGGAGTGCAAATAGAGGAGTGTGCATCTATCAGCACCCCAGGAAGTATGGGACAAGAGGTAAGGAAGACACAAGACAGACATTGACCATATGTACATTCGAAAAGCTTGCAGACGCAACCTGTCACAGCAACGTGATAAAATCCTTAGGGAAGATCTCTAGAATACTGAGTTTTTGAATAGGAAGAACAACTGCTTCATGGAAAAAGACAGGTGATATGTCTGGAACAAATTTACCAGCATTCTTATGGATCTTCTTCCAGATCTTAGAGCGAGGGTCATTATTTGTAATGGTGTGAACATCTCCAGCTCTCCTATTTAGCTGTATGAATGGCCCTATGGGCCACAACACTCACATAGCAGCACAAAGAGGGAATCTAGTTCTGAATGGAATAACTAGCACTGGCAGGAATGACAGTAGAAGGAAGGGTCCTACTATTAAAAGTGATGGTAACTTTAAATAGGGGCTGATGACAATGACCATGAGGGGGATGAGTTATGAAGTCAATCAGGAGGACAGAAAAGCCCCGGGCTTCTAGGATAAATATATCTTCATGGCAGTCTGAAGTCTGTATCCCTAGTTGCAACATAATGCAGGAGAACAACATTGCCAATGCTGGCATTCAGCAATGTATTTTTACACCCAAACTGGGGGTTCATCAAGGCTAGGCAGGTGACCGCTCCATGAACAGGGGCAGCAACGACGTGTGTGCTAGTCCAGGTGGCAAGAGTAACCCGGGAATCCACAGTCAATGAAGTGTATGGATGTACACACAAGGGCAAGTATGTTTATCATGACAAAATTATAATACTTAGGCCACAAAGTATGGCTAAACAGACTTAATGCAGTAGAAGCAGGAAGTAAACATGTGCAAGCATGGTGACAGCGTAAGAAACCCCAACGAAGAAGGGGGGGGGGGGCAAATGGTGCAGTTGTCACAATGGGATGAGGTAGTTACCACCGGAGGCTTGGAGCTCAACTCGGACACAAAAGTGGGAGGGTAATTGAGAGTCAGTAGTGGCAATCGGAAACAGTCTGGTCTGAACCCAATGTAGTCAGGGCTACAGAGCCCGTCCTTCCAGCACAGTCCGACTCGGGGGCCTGGTCGCCCACCCCACGAGTCTGAGGAGAAACAAGGTCAGAAGATAACATATAAGGTAACAAACATTTTACTGTCCAATACCTCTACCCACCACTGAGTCCACATGATTGTTCACGAGTCCAGTTGATTGACAGTTGAGAGGCGGGACCAAAGAGCCAGAGCTCAACCCCCGCAAGCACAAATAGGTGAGTACATGGAAGACAAGCACAAGACACAAGCAACCTATGAGTAACCAGAACAGGATACATTAGTCACCACTGCAGGTCTGAATGGCATTCCAGGGACCAATAGGGATACCACCCCTACAATGCCCACCTGACCTGCTGTCTAAGAGAGCCCATTTGTTCATGTGAGCTGCACTGAACCTCCTGTTTTACACTCATCCCCTCACCAAAGAAACACGTTTCCACACCCCCCTCCCCAGGGGTTGCAACCCTTGGGTAGGTTCAACTCCCAGATGAAGGGACTTGCTAGCATTTCAGAGCTCCATACAAGGTCAACACACAGGAATGTGTTCAGCTTGTACACCATCACAGCAGGCAGGAGAGGGAAGCAGGAGCTACCCCCCTCCTATCTGCAAGCGACACTCAAGAGCCCCCTCACTATGCCAAGGTACTATCCATAAAGGGAGGAAACCTTAGGCAAAGGAAAACACCAATTTTGAGGGGACATAATAACCCTTTTCTATACTTTGGAGGCATAAGCTATCAGAAAAATAGCTCTTGCTTCCCAAGAACAAAATTTGGGCTACATTGTGTAATATTTAGCAGAATTCTGATACAAATCAAAACTTTTTATTTTGCTTCTTCCCTGGGAACTCGTGGTCCAGCACCAGTTTGCAGACCACCACCTGAGGGATCTGCATTTTTTTTTTATTCTAAGTTTAACCTGGGAAGGTTTCAGACATTTATAAATGCACTCCATCCTCATTCTGTGCAGAATTTAGTATTCTCCAGTGAACATCTGATCTAACAGGAATAGTGTAAAAGGTTTCCTATTTTACCAGTGCTAAATATTGACCTTAACTGACTGTGCCAGATCCCAATCACGGGTTTTGATAGTATAGCATCTTTAATCAGGGAGCAAATGAGTGAAATAGCACAAATAGGGACTTAAGTGAGAACATGCATGCACATACAGAACTATTAACAGTAAAATTAAGTGAAACTTAAGCAACCTAAGCCCTTAAACTCAAAAATGTTTTACCTTTGTGAGAACTTGCTAGAGAGCTCATTGTGAGTTGGTGTAGAAGAGATTGCTGTGAAGGATGCTGCTGCTGTTGCTGGTGGTGGTGGTGAGCCATGTTTAGAAAATTTGCTAACGGGTTGTTTTGCGAGGTCGGATTATTGGTTCCTCCGGCAAGAGAGTTTAGCGTGTTGACGGTATTGAGCGTGTTCATAGTGCTCACCGAACTGATGGCAGGGAATATATTGCGAAGGCCGTTTTCTAGATCTTTGAGGAGGAACGCATCACTTTTGGGCAACCCGATACCTGGCGGACCTTGTGAGGCACTGAGGGGTGTGTCCATACTTAAGAGGGAAGCAGGCGACAGTAAGTGGGGAGGCATACCATTACCAAGTCCTCCTGGTATACCACCACTACCAAGCCCATTAGTGGTGCCATTACCAAGAAGACTCCCACCCAAACCTGGAGGTACACCTAAACCACTGGATCCCACCAAGCCATTGAGCGCTGGAGGTACTGAAGGGGCAGAACCAAGTCCAGGAGTACCAAGGTTGGGATTTCCTGCTAACCCACTTAAGAACGGTGGCAGCAGCTTACTCGGCTCAGGCTGAGTTTGTCTTGGCATACCATATGAATTAAAACTGTTTAAACCATTAAAGCCTGGTGGTGGTAATCTGGCACGAGACTGTCCACTAGGAGTTGTATAGTCCATCAATGATTTTAGGCCAGCTCTTAACTGCTGCTGTTGCTGTTGGTGGTGGTGAGATTGAAGCTGGCTTTGGTGTTGATGGTGTTGGTGTTGCGTGAACTGCTGCTGATGCCTTTGAAGCTGCTGCTGCTGTTTTTGTTCTATTTTTATATCTTCGGCTAATGCTTTATTGGTTTCTTCAAATGGATCAAAACCTAATTCATCATCTACTAAATTATTGACTCCTGTCATGTCTTCACTCTTTTCAAAATCAAATATACAGTTCCAAGTACTATTCGAGCGATTTTGAGAGGGAAACATACTATCCATATCAAATACTTCTGACGTTTTGCTAGCCCAATCTGTAAAGAGATTGGTATAATCAGTAATGTATCTATATTAGTTTATTCTTAACTGTACAAAGGCGTCACGATAAAAAAAAAAAAAAAATCTCGTCTGAAATTACCAAAACAATTCTAAACTAGTAAAAACAAGCCCAATTTTTCACACTAACAGATTTACCTTTTGTATGAACCAGGCAAGTTAAAAAAGAAATCCAAGTTATATAAAATAAATAATTTTTATATTTTAAAATGCAGAAATTAAATGAACATTCCATTCATTTAAAGCAATACATCCTTAATCTAACTTTAGTGCATGTCAATACTGTAATAATTATAGGAATTTTCATCAATGGATCCAGTGTAGACATGCATCATATGCTTGAAGCAAAAGTGTAATGGACTCCTACCTGAAGTGTTGTCGTGTGTGTACTGATGACTGCTGGCGTGACTGTTGTGAAGCTGGTGATTCTGTTGTGGAGATGATGCTGGTGGAAGTGGTGGTGGTGTTCGCTGCAGAGGAAGTGACGGCCCAGACGAAAAGAAACTGTTGCTGTTATCCGAAAAGAGGGAAGCAGCGGCAGCAGAACGGGAAAACTGTTGTGGTAGCGGGAGAGATGACGAAGGTTCTGAGGAAGATGATAACGAAGAGGGTGGAGTGGGCAAGGGAGAGGTATCTTCCCGGCATAAATCCTGTATGCAGGACACCGGAACAGGAGATGAAGAGCAAGGAGGTGGGGAAGGTGGTATTAGAGGATTATCAAAGGATGGAGGTGGGGTCGTAGAAGCAGAAGACGTGCAACTCTCGTGACCTGATGACGGCGAAGATGTTGCCACAGGACTAACACTGTGGTTCATCATATCCACACCCAAGCCATTACTAGAGCTGCTACTGCTTCCACTGGTGCTACTGTTACTGCTGCTGCTACTGCTTGTATTGCAGGATCGATCTCTCTCTTTACTCCCTCTGTGAAACAATAAATCAGTTAAAATATTTATTATGCTTGCCTTCAAAATGATAAAAATATTTATCAAACTTTCGATAAAACTAATCGACAGTTAATTAAATATCCAACTACTCGCAACAATTCCAGTACAACACAAATGTCAAGACAAAATCTGTACAATTTTTCCACCAAGAACTAGCATTAAACAAGTAAACAAGCTACCTCAAAAACCTGGCTTCGAGTATAAGAAAAGCTCATTTTATTTCTAAGCAGGTAATATGGATACTCTCCATAAGGCAAGATTCATCTTGGATCCATTGGAAAAAATAAAGTCGAGATCAGGTAAATTCTGTGCCTTATTCTGTGTGGGGTGGGGGTTGGGATGGAGACAGCAGTAAATCTTGCTCTACGTAACATTAGGTTATGAAAGCAAATCCAAGCTGTATTAGGCACCAAAACCACTTTCATGGTGCATTTTCATTAGCTACTGGTTTGTTACCTGGCCATTACCCAAGATACCGATAAGATGGCGGCACTGTCATCTACTCCGATTCTTCTTACAATGCCATTTTCTTGGTTGCGAACTTATTAAAAATTCTAGGGAGAAAACCGAAGCATCGGCCTTTTTCCAGTTAGCAGTTTTTAACATTCACTTAAAAGTTCCACCTAGGCATTATTCTACTCTGATGCACCAAGGCCAGAGTATTGAAAATGAAAATAATCATCAAAAAGAAGGCACCAAACCAGGAATACTATACAGTGTTGAAAGTAAAAGAAAAAATATGGCAGCACTTGCCTATGCTGCAGTGTTCCCTAATGTAGGTGCCTACCTAGAATATGCTTAATGTGGGTTCTGGGAGTTAATTCACCCAAGCCCAGCTTTGGGTTAGGCTTGATTTGTGATAACTGGGTCCAACTAGGTGCTGCTTGGAGTGGACTGCAGGCCAACATACCTACTACAACCCAATTGGTCTTGCCATCAACTGGGTTGGTGGCAAGATCACCACCTTGCCAAGGAAAAGATGACTGTCAGCCACCAAGTTCAGTTGAGGTGCCCAATTCATCCACCAACAGTGGCAGAAGTAAAAGCTGCCATTATCAACCTCTGGGGAGGGGAAGAATACCACTATACAGTATTTCAAAAGGAAAGTTAGAGATGGTTGGCTCATAGTCCCTGCAGCTAATGGAGGGGGGGGGGGGGGTTGGCAGTAAAAAGCTTACCAATGGAAACATCAGCAGCTGAAGTACTCTAAGGCACCCTCTGATTCAATCTTAAATCCCATATCATCTTTCGGAAAGTGGGAATCCACAAAGCATCCACGGAAGCAGAGAACAGATTCATTTAATGCCAATACTGATATTCCAATACTTAAGCCCACAACCCTGAAGTAAGGCTGTTTGAACAGGGTTAACGCCCACACATAGCTGAATGGACACACTATAGGGTTGAACCCACTGTGAACCCAACACCTGGAATGCAAGAGGCAAGAGAGAGATGGCTGTCTGGATTTAAAACTTCATAGGTCTATCATTAAAGCTGCACTAAGCAAAATTTTGTCGATGCCATTCCCCCCCCTCCACCCCCTGGGCAAACATATGTAGGAAAGCCACTGGGTGAAACCAGGAGCAAGTCATCAGATCCTTGGCCCTAAACTGCAGTATGAAGAGGCCCGATTGCTAAAGGCAAAAATAATTGGCAGACTCTTACTCAACCATATCCAATATGATTTAGCAAGGTAGCACAGTCCATGACCAAAAAATGAGTCTTGTCTACACACACAAACTAAGGAAACATTTGGGGTGTACCAAATTCAGTACATCTTTACTTACAGGCAATGTAGCAAATGAATGTACCCTAATGTGTGCTCAGCAGAAATGCCTACACTCAAACTAGTACCAGGCAACTATATTGGGAAACTCTGAAAAATAATAAGTACTGAAGCACAAACTTGAAAATGAAGATGCAACTCCTGTGAGCTAGCCAGTTAGAGTAGAGAAAACTTGTGTACACAGCATTCTTTATAAGCATGATCCCACTGCAATGAAATCTTTTCAAAGAATGAAAACAATTCAATTGTCTGTAATCCTTTCTCTTGCATGCCCACTTGAAATAGGAACCAACAGTTAAGAAAGCGAGAAGGCTTGAGGAAGGAAGACATGATAATGGTATAGATGGTACCCCCCCATGGCAGCTGTCAAATGTAGCAGATAACTGGTTAAACCCAAGATGTCAAGGAAGGCTTTTAGAGTTTATGAGTGACCTTTCGATCCATACTAGGATGAGCTTTCCTCCAATGCCTCACACACACACAAAAACATCATGCTGACAATTATAATTCAATGGGACCAAAATGCTTCCTGCCTTAGGAAGAACGAGAGGAACATCTCTAACATTTTTATTAATCTTGGTGCATAGTAGAAAGATTTTATAATGAGAACTTTGTGCAGGCATTCACCTTTTGTTATTATTATTACTACTATTATTATTATTATTATTGTGCTCGTCTGTCGGCGTGTGTCTTGCTGAGCCATTACTTCTATCCGATTTGCTGCCTTTGGACTTTTTACTTTCTTTAGTGGCAATGGCATTTAGCGATGGCCATGCCTCCCCAGAGTTAGGATTAGGAGAAATTGAATCTTGATTTTTGGGGGCAGAATTTTCTTTGCCCCCTCCTGATGCCGTCCTTTTATTCGAACTGGAATTTCCTGAGGTGGCTGCTTGAGGTGGCGAAACACTCGTACTGTGAAGCAACAAAAATGTACAATATAGTTGTGTGCATATACGGTACCATTAAATATTATCAGTCTTAAATGTTGAAATTAATCAACAAATCTATATGTACATTAGGCATATATCTAATGATGAAATGAAGCCCATGTTCTATATTTAACTGCAGTACTAACTCTTTTGCTACTTTGAAAGCATGGTGGCCAAAATAAAAATCACATTCTCAATACAATTTTTACTAAAACAAATATCAAGCAAATATTTCATTGATATAATTTAAAGCACGGGTCTGTCTGGACAAATTTTAGAACCTTACACATGTCATTCCAGTAAAACCTTTCTCAGAATGCTTTGTCAATCTAATGACCACTCCCTAGAGTTCAAGTTTACCGATACAATGTGTATCACAAAATGATTAAATAGCTTAGGCAATTTCTTCCATAAAAGTTTACATACAGTATTAATGTATTTTCTACTTGACTTTTCCCCTTGTATAATTACCACTGTTGTTAAAGAATCCTGTTTGACCAGCTTCTCCATACAGCAAATCTTTTCCCTTGCAGCAATGTGTATTTCACTCAAACATAATACCAGAGGGCTGAACTACTACAATATTCACTATACTTATCACCATAGTGCTCTAGTTTATGTAAAAATACAATTTCTATTATAATATTTGTCATTATGCAAGCAAACATTTACACAGTATTAAAGATACATGATAATTTAATCCCAATTGCCAATTGAAAGACAGCCCAACAGATACAAATATATGCACATGGAATTCCCATATAACAGTACATTAGCAGTTACTAACATGTCAACTTCACACACTAACGAGTTATTTCCTTCCAGACTGTCCACTATCTCCAGCACTTTCATAATCTTTTCTTAAACATCTAACCTATGTACTGTATCTACATTACTTCAATGAACTTGATATTAAGTGATAGATAACTGGTTATTCAAGGATATTTTCACACACAATACTGTACATCAGTATTTATTTTATTTTACTTAAAAACAACAAAAATTTGTATACACCAAAATTAATTTTATATAATCACCTATTTTTTTCCGATGTTGGATTCCCTAAATATTGGTCTTGAAGTTTCTTTTCAAATTCTTGGTGTTTCCCTTGTTGCATTTCCTCTTTAGTAAAGCTTGCCGATTCATCACCTGAGTAAGGAGCAATTATAATATGAAAAACTATATGGAACAATCCCACGAGGGGTGATCGAGAAAGTTACCCCACACCTATGCCAGTTCCTAAATACCAAATACAACATTTATAAGAACATACTTGCAAATTTACATTCGCTAGAATGTAAGAATACCAATGTTATGTACTCACAACCCAATGTACCTTCTTTAATATAAATATATAAAAAATACAAATTATTACCAAAGGAAAGCACCAAGCCAGGAAGACTATGTAGCATTGTCTATGTTACAAGATATTCAAAAAGGTGCACAACATTTATAAATAATCCTTAAAAATGCAAAGGCCTCTTACTCTACTCCAACCTTTCATAACAAGGCTTTACCACATGTAACAATATACTTAACTCTGCAGAACAGCCACACACACACAAGTATGCACATGAATGCAAGTGTAATTTGTAGTAGTTAAAGTATTATGCTCTGCCAGGGCAATGTTTTGAGGCCCACTATGGTTTAGTTGTACATTAGTATGCACAACTACCTCAATATACTCAGTCTAACTACCGCCTTATTAACAATCTGGCCTGAGCTTATTGATCTTGATTATTTTTCCCTCTTCACAATTTCTTTCATAAAACAATCTGCATTATCCAGTACTAAATAGATAGTTGAGCCTGTACCCAAAATACTTAAGTGGTGCAGGTGTGCAGAAAGTTTGGTAGTTTCCCTCGTTCTAAATGACAACCAGGAGGGAACACTGCACAATTTTAAATTATCAGAAGTTCAGCAATGCCAATTTAAAGTGTAATTAAAGAAACAGATACTGCAAGAAATTATAGTATAAATAAATAACGGTTAGCATACCTTTAAGTTATCTACCTAGTATGGCCACCTAAAACGTATTACATAGCCTGTTTAAATATTTAGCAAATACAGTACACTAAGAGGCCATGAACACCTAAAGAAAATCAATGACTGGTTACAGTACATAATCCAGTTCGAAACATATGGGTTCCCTTGGAATACCAGTTGCGCTGGAAACTGACTGACATTGCAAAATTTAGCTGTCATCAGTGTTGGACATTTTTGTAGAATATATAACCGAGCTACTGTACTGATTTTTTTTTTTTTGGACCCAAGAGTGTCAAAATGTTTCAACAAAATACCATTTAACCAAAAATACAACCCATGACCCTGAAGTAAGGAATTATCAAAAGAAGGCACCAAACCGGGAAGGCCCTATGACCCTGAAATCATAGTACTTATACTATGTGGTGGTAAGTACCAATATGTAATGCTGAACCACCAGTAAACTACTTTTTGTACTATTAATTGTGCAGTTCAAAAAATACTAAACTAAAAATAAAAGGTAAATACAGTACTGTATTCATAGACCTAGTATAGTGCACACATGTACTATATTAAGCCTAGGACTGCTAGGAGAGGTGAGGTTAGGTCTCATAACTGTTGCAATTAAACGTTCCAGTTTGACCAAATTCATTAACAAGTCAACTTTCTAGAACCTCATCACTACATGTTGGTACTTTCGACCAAATAGTTACTAAAAGTACTATAATTTTAGGAGAATGGGCTGCAAGACTGCTAAATATCACAGTACTATATACCACGGACTAAATATCTTTATAAAAATATAAACAAATTTGATGGACGAAATTCATTACACCAATATACAAGCTGAGGCACATTGGTCAGGGCATTTGGTTTTTACCATATACTGTAATTCATTGTTGGGACTGTAAGCCCGTGTGTATATATATTTTAGGCTTGTATCGACGTCTCCAAGGTCTAACTACTGATTCTTTCCCCAGGATGCAACACCATAACAGTTACCAAATTCCCAGGTACCTATTTGCTGCTATGTGAACAGAGGCATTAGGTGAAAGGAACCATGCCTAAACACTACTGTCCTGCCGGGTAATCAAACCGGGAATCCCCACCGAGACTCGAGACGTTTGGGGACGCTTCCTTACTGTGAAGCAATTTAAATTTTTTTTATTTAATAAGAGTATCATTGAAAATGAAAGATATAACAGCAGCCAGACTCAAGGATATAGAGAAATATGATACCAATGAAGAGAATTGGTGATGAAAATGGAGTTTCCATACCATTATCTGCTTTTAACAGGAGAATAGCTTAGGTGCCAGTTTTGTCTGACAAGCAAACAAAACCAACTTTTATAGTTCACTGCTAATAGGGATTCTCGATATCAGGGGAAAGGATATGACAATTTTAAGATGGCAAAACTAAATCAATTTGAACAAAGCCATATTAAAGCAATTTTGTCAAGCACAATGCTGATATGGCTACAAAAGGTGAGCAATTTAGAAGCACACATGCTTTCATAAAATTCAGGCATTACAAACACCAAGGCAAAAAATTGCTGGGTTATAAAGTTTAATAACAGGTATGCTGTTATTGCCAGGAGAATCTGATGGCACAATGTTTAAGAGGACCAATGTCACAAAAGGTTCAAGCATTGCTCATTTGCCAATGCCCCACCACACCAGGAAATTGGCAAAACAATGATGGCCATGCAATTTTATGGATCTACCACTGTATGTCGCCTCCAGCCCGTCCTCCAAACAAATACCCATAAGTGATTCCATGCACCCACCAAACCCCACTGTTTATGAATGAAAAATGGTTTACACACGACTTGACTGATTTCGTTTGAACACTCCCGGAACAAGTACTTCACTGACCAATTTTGTTCGAACCACGACGGTGTAAATGCTTCACCCACATACAGTACTACAAATACAAATAATCGCCAACAGAACCTAAACTCCTAACCTAACCTATTCCTATACATGCACAACATGCTATTATAATATTAATTTATATGAGAAAATTCCTGTTTTGAATGAACACCACGTAAGAATTTATGAATGCATCTGTGGGGTCGACCGCTGGATGTAATGGACTCGAGTCGAGGACGGGTTGGTCGCCTCTTAATTAACCCGGGGGCTCAAGGTGTCAAATGTAAACAAATACTTCCATAAAGAAATTGCATGGGAAGAGATTATGCAATTTATCCCAGTGATGAGAAAGGCAAGCCTGTGGACAGGGAGGCAGAAAAACCCTTGACAATCTAAGATGGTATACTACAAAGAAAGCAATTCTCACCTGGGATAAACTTTTCAATGAAGTAAATGTGACATTAAACGTGTCTAGAATTTGCTTGACATCTACTGATACAGGAATAGGTGATGCTAAAGGTGGACTAATGACAGAGGGTGCTTTATGTACTGATCCATGGGATGGTCAAAATGACTGGCAAAGATGTCAACCTGAAAAATTTATACAATTGTTTAGTGTGTGATGCCAATGATCCAGGTTATGGGATGACAACAGCGGAGGAAACTGTTTCGGGTCATACGGAGGAGGATGGGAGCGAGATATGATGTCTAGCTAAAGAAAACAGTTCCTAATCAACAGAACTGGTGGCATAAATGATTTAATGAACTAATACAAATAATAGCAATATTTATCTACTCAATGCTTGCAGAAAGAGGTTTCCCAGGAACAGGCAAGATAATCAAAGGCAAATCCCTATACTGTAGATCAGTTTTGAGCCAAGACTTGAACAGAGTGAAGACTCCAGTGCAGGACCCAGCCATAGATCAGCCTCTGGCACCCACAACATCGATTAAACTCAAAAGTGTACAATACAGAAGAGGTCAGTAACTTCAGTCTAAGCTTTTAAGTTGACATTCATTCTTTATGGAAGATTTTAGTATAAAGAGTAGGAATTTTAATACAATAATGTACATAATATATAAAGCATGAATGTGAATAAAGCAATTTTTTCACAGGGACACTTAACTTTGCCCATAGGTCAAGACAAATGTAGTTTCACTACAAAAACCCAGAAAAAAAGGTACAGTATTTTAATTATACAGCTGTATAACATTTTAATGTGTTAAACATTGATAAATATATGCCTTAATGTTTAATAAAAACCAACAAATGTGGTTGAGAAACTGATGCCAGCTGCAAAGAAATGTCAGGTGGGCCGGGGAAAGTTGGTCTCTAAGTTACGTTTGAATGGAAGTACTCTGTACCAATTACTAAATTAACAGTAAATATTTAAATTATCTTAAAATCAAGCTTATTTTAATTAGTTATCAGGTTACTTTTTATACTGCCATGAACACAATTACTTTTCTACCAATTATTACTACTGTGCCAAAATCATGGAAGAACATGCAGTTGGTTATTACTTTAGATTACTATCACCTTCGTATTTAAATCTATAATGGTATATACTGAGGGTTTTAACCTATTACTGTATGCAGGCAATGTCACAATAACATAGCTGAAAATTAGACACCAACCCACAAACCTGACAAAAGAACTGACAACATTTCAGTCCATCCCGGGCCATTACACTACTTAATGGTCCAGGATGGACAAAAACTAATCTCTTTTTTTGGATTTGTTGGCTGGTGTCAATTACTATGATTTTTCCCTCAAGAAATAAATTCTTTTTCACAGTACCTAATTCGTGAAGATACATGCAATCAGGTTTGGGGCACTGCTGGTTTTTCATGAAGTGGGAGCAGTACTTTGTGGTCCCCAAGGAGGCCTTCAACGTCCGCCCGTCTACATGAATGTTGTTTACTGCCTGAATGGCTCGAAGCGCATCCTCCGCTCTCTGATAGGTCACGTACGCTGATGCACTTGGCCCCTGCCAATACATTTAACATGTTTGTGTACAAAGCACACCTATACATCTTGAGGAATTAAAAACTATGCTAGCTTTTGTCAACATTACATTACCTATAAAAAATTATAAACAGACATTCATTAAAGGCTTCCACAATATTTATTGTCCATAGCTCTGCACCAGAATTACAGTCGGCTAAAAAACACCAATTTGAGTTACTCACCTGAGACCCAGCATAACTAGTGCTGTGATTTATAACTACTTTATGAATTTTTCCAAATTTTCCAAAGTATTCTGGCTTCTTTAACGTCTGAAAAGATAAGAGATTTTCAGTTGCATTACCTCAGAAAGGAAAAAAGAAATTATAAAAATTAAAATGTTCTTTTAAAACACATTAGCATTCCACCGACGCCAAAATGTATCTGTACTTCCCCAGTTAACTTTCCAATGATGCTAAAATGTTGTCCATCTCAAAATTCCAGCAATTTTTTTTTTTTTAGTGCATCTGCTGGGAGAACCAGCATTAAATCTTCATTACTATTGGATAAGAAGTTGACAAATAAAATGGTTATTTGTGTATTTTGAGAGTAGATTAACAGTTATATATGTAAATTACATCAAATACTTAATAATGTATATAGTTTTTCCAATCACAATACCTATTAAAAAAAAAAAAAAAAAAAAAAAAAAAAGCTCACCTCTGCATCAGCTAACCGCGTAGAAAGGCCAACTACAAAAACAAGATTCTTCTGCACAACCCGTACGTTGGCCAGATGCTTCCGGTTCTCCGTCACCTTTTGTTTACGTTGTGCATCCTTCTGACGCTTTTCCTGCTTTATTCGCTGGAGACTGCAATCAAAGGGAAATACTAGTTATAATTGTATTTTTAAATTCAAATTTAAGTGCAATAAACCACAATCATTATCTTTACAAGTGAACTGAGGAAATGAGCTTTTTATATATCAAGCTTGTTCCTTTGTCCAAAAAGGAACCGGTAGTTCCCCAATTACGAACGAGTTACGTTCCGAAACCGTAAAGCAGTTGTTTGGAATGTGGATCAAGATTTTCCATGGGCGCAATGCTATAGGTGGGAGACGTGTTCATAGGCTTCCAATAATCCTTACAAAACCAATATTTTTGGGGACATAAAAAACATTATTTACCTTGAATGAAGGAGTTATCCTGCTTGTCAAAGTTACACGTTGTTGAAGAGTGAAGTGGTATAATTACCTGAATAAATAAATGAAAATACAATACATGTGCACTATATAGGTGGGTCTCCCATTTTGTAATTGGCCTCACGAGTAAACGCCTTCCCCACCCTCCAATCAACAGCCTGCCGTGTATCTCTCACACCCACACAATTCCCCCCTACCCCATAGACATTTATTTTGTATCAGTCTCATTTTAAATTTCCAGAGCCAATTTGTCAACTTCTCACGGGTTGTCAATTATTAATTCTCTTTCAGGTGTTCTTTCACCAGAAGGGCAACTCTTCCATCTTTTCAAATTTTGTCATGTTTCCAGATTTAGTAGCCCTTTGGAAACATATCCTCATTTAAAATATTACCCTTGAGTTTCGTCTGTTGGTATGACGATCTCTGGCATCTTAAGCTGTATTATATAGTTTTGCTCCAGTATGTTTAATCTCATTCCATCTGTGTTACTACTGTATTTACAGTATGATTTTTTTTAGGAACATGTTTCCAATCCATCCTCCCCCTTTTTTTTCCCTTTACTCTTCCTTGCTCTAATGATTTAGTTTTTTTTTTTTTTTTTTGTACCATTTTACAGGCTTGTCGATTCCTATCACTTTGTAGATAAAATGAATATTTCTTCCTCATTCCAACCCTCATTTAGATGTCTTGCTTCAGCAAGATTTAGTTTTATCTTTCATTCGTCCTCTGAAAGGTCTCGTCTTAATGACCATTATTGCCTTCGTCATTTTTAATTTTCTGGCATTCCCAAACACTTCTGTCACCATGTCACCCTTAGGGGGCAATTCTTATCTTTGTCTATCTTAAAATCTTTTATTTTCCTTTGATGGGAGGCCTTATCCTAAATCTACTATTTTCTCTTTTTATCTCTTCCGCTGCTGCTGCTGCTCTGTCCACCATGCATGTTATCTTTTCCAAACACTCAAAAATTATTATAGACTTGCATGTACAATATTTTGTACCAATTTATTGCTTGTGACAAGTTTTTCCTAATCGCTTGCCTGATGCATGATTCTTGCTCCACATTTATACTTTTGACTTTCCAAAATATTACGTTGATTCCTCCTTTTTCTCTTACAACTTGTACATACGTTTCTTTCATTTCCCCTTTGTACTTTTCCAATCCTTGGGTATCTTCTACTTGAGTTGTCCAAGTTGTTTCCCCTTAGGCTATCCTTACCTAATTCCATATTTTTTCTAGCCTTTAGGGGTTCTCCAAGTTCCTAACCATATGCATCTTTCTTATGTCTTCAAATTCAACCATTTTCAATTTCTTTACTTCATTTTCTTCAAGTTGTTTGACTTTTTATTCCTGTCTCTTCACTTTGCCAATCATGCTGCTAATTTCATCCTGCTGCTGGGAAACGCTTCTATCAAACTTATGAAGTTTTCTTCATAAATATTTATCAAATCCTCAATTTTCACTAACGTGCCCATAAAACCATTTCTTATCATTTCCTCGGAAAATCCCATGAAATTTGTCTTGCATGCTTGTAAGTCAGTATCCATGGCCATTTTGTTTGTTTTGATTCATCTGCTTCAGTTTGATAAAGTCTTCCTATAGATTTCCCCAAATTTGTTTATCCTTTTCCAGAGATTCGTTGCTCCACCTTCTATAACCATCTTATTTTTAAAATACCTGGGACACTACTAGTTATTCTTCTCCCCCCTACCACCTAGATAATGATGAATTAATCCTAAGCTATGTTTGTATGTGTGATTGCCTGGGTGTAATTACAGGACGAGAGCTAGACGCGTGGTATCTGTCTTGGATACATTAATCCAAATGGGGGTGCACCAGACACTTTTACAGCTGCAGCTTAATAACCACTTTGCTTTGAAGTCAAAAAGGTTCTTTTGATAATTTCTAAGGTTCAAATGGCTTTTTTTTCACTGCAGTTCCTGCATGCTGAGCAACTCTCTGACTTTAATCCTAGCTTAGGTAATTATGGTACATGTGCACAAACTAATCCACAAATAAAATTAAAGAACTACAGTACAATGTTTGCTATAACCAGAAATTTTTTTCCTGTGGCTGGCATTACAAATTACAGTATACCTTTGAATTATACATTTGAACTATCTAATAAGAGAAACTTTTCAAATCAATTCGCACTAAACTCAAAATACATACTCTTCATGCGATAAAGGCTTGAAATCAGCAGGGTTTTCAGGGTAAGCCTTCCGACATGCTGGGCAAAGACCATTCTCATCTGTACGAATCCGATGCCAACAGAATCGACATATTTGATAACCACATGTACACGGGAAGAAATTTAGGTCGTCCATTTCCAATGGCTCCATACATAGTGGACATTCCACCATATCCTCGCTTAAGTTTAGCACCGACATTTTTTGGTGATCCTAAATCCGATAGTGAATCACCTGAAAGAAGAAATGCACAATTAAATAGTGTGTTTACAGCAAAATTCATCGTCTCAACTTAAAAAATGCGATTACTATGCCTTAATCTCTTACATTTATAAGGAATTACGAGGGACAATTCAATTATTCTTTTCATTGGTATATCTATTAAATCTTTGTCCAATATTTAAAATACAGTACAAAAGAAATCAATCTAAAGAAAAGTGAATCTATTATGTCGTCTATCTCAAGGCAACCAATATATAGTATTAAAGTCTCTCAGGGTCTTAAATCTGAATTTCTGAACCACTCAATTGGTCTCTTAGGCAAAGTCCTCCTGTCCCCCATGGACAGGATTACACAGTTACAGTAGATTGATATTCCAACCTGGAATGGGGATCTTTTCAAATCTATCAGGTAATGCTGGTGCAAGGAGAAGACAGAATACATTACAGTACTCAGTCTAGTCCAAAATAACCAAGATAGCTTATTCTGACCACTACCCCTAACTGCCACTAGGTGCAGTTGGAACACATTTAAACATTTTTATACCTAACTTATGGAATGTGAAAAGGCAATGTGGAAGTTACCATGATGGCTTGGTACAATATGCTTTTAAATGGCTTTTCCAAAGGATTTGCACACATTTAGATTTGGGAGCCAACCCATTTGATATCAAGAGAGGTCTCAAGGAATGCACTGGCACAAGTTCTAGGTGTTGAATAACATATGGATATTTATTATTCACATTAAATTATTGTACTGTTTATGTCAAAGAACGGTAATGCACTACTCAACACAGAGGGAGCCGAGGACAGTAACTTCCCATAAATATGACGCCAAGGTGTCACGTTGGTCATAGTAATATTTGAATGTTTAAAGAACAGAAATTTAGTCAGAAATACCTCTTAAAACAGGTAGTTGTTGCCGATTACGGGCGAATGAAAATTGGTCGTGATGATACCGGTATTGTTATACTGCTGTAGGAACGTGTCTGTCAATTACAGGGAGTAGAGTGGAAGGCCTGGAAAACATGAAAGAAAATGCATATTTTACAAATGAGTAGCCATTTGGGAATGTAATATTAATATGCACAAATATGCACAAAGTAACTAGCATACCATATCAGTCAGCTACTTATTCCCATAATCACTAATGACACCTGCAATCTATTCACTAACCATTAATGGTATCTATAATTATATTAATGCATAATCCAATGTTTTCAAGAATCACTTAGGACAGCCAAAAGTAACCAGCGAGTTTCCCCACTAGGTTAATTGGTGAACAACAGATTGTTCTCAACACATGGTCATGTGGATACAGACGACAGCATTTTCAGTCGAGTTCCAGCTCTCACAAGACGTTACAAACCTCGCTATTTAACAGCCACTCCTGGCCACATTAGAACTCTCTGCTCTCACCCTGCATCTGAGCTTTCTGCTCTTGGCTCCGGGACTCACACAAGCTCTATCTCCGGCCACCTATAGCACTACATCTTGCGCCTAACTCTGCCAGCAGTACCGATGCCAGCAGTAGCACACAAGCCTCCTTGTCTCAACCTATCATGACATCATACTTTTCCTAACATCCAACTGCTGTAACCAAGATTGTATTGAACAGCAAAAACCACCACTTATCACCCAAAGTCACATGTTGCATTAAAAATGTTGGGGGATGCATGGAAGTGGTGTCCCCACTTTACATTTAAGAGTAAAACTAACAATCCTAGATACCCTAAAATCATGATGATCTAACTAGAATAAAGAAAAAGCAATTAATTAATTTTGTGAAAACCTTTGGCATGATTTTAGACATTATAAAATTACACCAATCTAGTCTGGTGATGCATTACTGACCACATGGTTAACTAAAATATGCTGGGGGCCACCTTAACCCTGATTGACAGCCTAGGTCTGTACGCGAGTATACACGGAGGTCAAGCAAAGAGAAAGAAATTGAGCAAATAATGTGAATAGAAGATGCAAAAGTACAGTACTGTACTTTAAGAGCTCAATAATCTGAATTCTGATAACCTGAATCTTTGGGTAATCCAAATAAGTTAGAGTTCTTGACTGCTCATTTATAATAAAAATTCAGATTACTGATATTTCTGCAAATGAAAACTAGAATACATACAATGTTAATTTTTGGACTTTCCAGGTAAGAATTTGGATAACTCTAATGGGAGAGGATCCAATATACAGTAACTAGAATTTTCGAGCATAGACAGTAGTGTGAAAGATAGAACGGTCATGCAAGGAATGTTCATAGGATAAGATTAAGTACTATAAAAACTGAAGTGGGTGGCAGGTATTCTAATCGGATTAGTACTGTACATTAGTGTTTAAATGCAGGGAAAGTTGGAGAAAGTCAAAGAACAAATTCAAGAAATATTTGATACAATATTTGACAATGTGAATGTAAAATGAATGTACTGTATATTAGGAATGAGAGTACTGTTGTAAAAACATTTGTGTCGCAGGTTGGCGAGAAAGAAAGGAAGGAAAGAGGGGGGTACGACAACTGAAAAATGCCAAAAGCTATTAAAAAATTCCTGGGAATATAATACTGAAATAGAAAGTTGAGTAAATTCCATGTTTTCTCCCATATCAAAATTAAATTTTAACTATTTTACTGACAGCGTACTTGGAACATATGAACATGTGTTAGAATGAGCATAATTGGTGAATGGCCAATGGAACAGACAAGCATTAATATGGGGTTAAATTAGAGAAGCCATGAGTTGGTTAAAAAGGAAAAACACACATTCTTGGAATACATAGAACAACTGTATGTTCAAGGTATGAGGGTGAAGAGGTTAAGTGTTAAATGTCAAATAGTATGGCAGGAAGTCAGGGTGCCAAGTGATAATACTAAGGTCATTGTGGCACTTGGACAAGGGAAAAATGTAGTAAACTGGAAATAAGGTGAATTAGTTTACTTAGCATCACAGCAAATGCATGCAAGGGTATTTAAAGTGTGCAGTACTAGAATATAGACTAGGTAAGGTACAGGTTGCATTTCGGATGGGGAGAGACCTTATAAAACCGATTTGGACCTTTATAATATTTCCCGAAAAGTTGCTAGCAAAGGGGGAGAAAGACTTGTGTTGCCCTTATCAATTTGGAAAAAGCCTATGATTGGATTACTCAGGAAGAACCATGGAAGGTCTAAAAGTCATATGGAGTAGGCAAGAGTTAGCTGACAGCAGTGAAATTATTTTATCTTGAGTACCCTATTATCTGGGGTATCTCATCAAACCCAAACATTAAAACAATTTTAATTTGAATAAATTACGTTCGAGATAAATGACAGTCTGCATTAAAATAATACAGTATTGAATGGCTGCATATACTGATATTTACATTCCAATTATATGCAGTTTTAGATTAAGAAAATATAACCCATTTGCTGAAAGGTAAGAATGAAAATCATTAAGTATTGTACAGTATCTCAACTGGTGCTCATCTGTCTCATCTGCACTTTATCATGAGCGTGTATTAACGTGTCCGATGTTGCATATCTTCAAGAAAGGTACAATTTAATCTAGTGTTTATTCTAAATATTGTACTATAGAAAGGTTCAATATTTATGAGGGAGCAAAGGGCAAGAACATAAGGCAGAGGGTAACACCCATGACTGCTTTATTTTGTGGATGCAAACCTTGATAGATAAATTATGGATGTGGGCGTGGCGCACTGATATTTATGTCACACCGTTTAGTTAAACTTAGTTCAAAGTTTACTCTGGGACCTCTGTATAATTATCTTTTCTTGACAAAATACAGATTCTCAATTTACTTTAACTTCATAATTGTATTGTATATATATCATTACACTGCTGCAGTATGGCAAGGTAAAATTGCTAGTCTCCAGACATTAGTGCATAAAGAAATGTACAGTGCCTGCACCAGAACAGAATGAAACCAGAACAAATGGTAACAACTTGTAGAATATAGTTCAAAAACTGTTTAAAAAAGAAGGAATCTTATAGAAACCTGTTAGAATAAGTTTCAATATATCAATAACAGCATTTCCATGAATCGGATAGTTATGAAAGTTATAAGGATGTTTGTTTTGGTAGATGTACAATCATTAAATAACAGGATGACACTGTAGTATACAACCTAGGTAGAAATAGGCATTATGGTAAAATAAGACATCTGTAACCAAGTACAGTTTTGCCAGATTAAACACACTACCGACACTCCAAACAACACACTATCTTGCACATTAATACAAAACCTAAATGGTCATTGATTGACTAGACCACACACTAGAAGGTGAAGGGACGATGATGTTTCGATCCATCCTGGGCCATTCTGAAATCGATTGTCTTGAGAATGGTCCAGGACGGATCGAAATGTCGTTGTCCATTCACCTTCCAGTGTGTGGTCTGGTCAACCTACTTTAGCCACATTATTGTGACTCATCGCCTGCTAAATTGTCATTGCTTCTTGAGAAATAAGTCGCTAAATACACTGAACGCCAAAAAGTGAATCTGTTCAAATCTCCAGAAGAACAGAGGAGAAAAAGTGTAACCAAACATGAAACCACCACTAAAGATTAGACGTATGCTGTTATTGTGTTCCACATTATAAAGTCTCAACACACTGCGGTATCCGAGAAACTAGCCCCCTAAATGCCTACAAAGCCGCACGTAGGTCAGTTATTTTTAGGAGTAAGGTAAAGTAATTATCAGGAGAAAGTACCAAGCCATTACAAGGACTGTATACAACACTTGGGAGGGATACAAGGAAAAGGATTTGGGATAGGACGGAGGGAAAGGATGGTGCCAAACCGCTTGGATGGTCGAAGATTAAACACCGACCTGCAAGAAGCAAGACTTTCACACACTACCATCCAGACTAAGTGATTAGGTTGGGTTACTTATTTATCTTGTACGAATTAGGAAATGAAGGAGTTATAATAGTATAGTTGTCCATTATTTACATGGCTATACTAGCAAAATTACCTTACAAATGAACATGTCACACTGGAGAATAGAACCTGGTTGTCCAAAAGCTTGGTTTGTGACAAATTTCTGGACAACAATGATTTGCTAGTTATCTAGATTTTGCATCTACAGCTTCCATTTAACTGTCACTTTACAGAACATCCCTGTCAATTTATACTATTAATTTTGCAATACTGTACGGTATTTATGTAAAGTGCATGTCATTTTCTAAATGGAAACTAAATGGAAAACAGAATTAAAAAATTTTGTACAAATATTGATTTCCATTATTTACATTCCCACCCCTTGATGGGGACTAAAGGATTCTGGGGTGTCATAGCCAAATGGGTAAGTTAAATGTATCTAATTTTATATTGATGTACTGTACAGTACCCAAATTACACAATATATAATAAATTTAAAATACACTTCCAAACATTTCCACTATGCACAGCGACTGACCAGCAGAGATTTCTTTAATGTTAGCTACCAATACCTCAGGGCCAAATGCTAGAATGATTATGTAGCACACCAAGAAGTTAACAAAAAAATACTGTACTGCCATTTTAAAAGAAAAATCACAGTGCCACAATTTTCACACTATTGACCACAGTCACAACTTCCAATGATTTAGTAAAATGCACCACAATATTAATAACCATTTCACAGACGAACGAGACAGTCTAGATAGGTCAGGCGGGTTGCCCGTATTCAAACCATTATTTGGTTAGACCAAAACCACTTCATATTCGACACTTTCCAAATTACGAGAAGAGGCCAGAAGACAATTCTCCACTTGCCTCCATATGTTCTATCCAAGTAACACCAATTAACAAAACATTTAGACCTAAAATAACAGTACAGCAGTCGAGTCATAACCACCAACTACATGTACTGTGCCATGATGGCACTTTTAGAAAGCTTTACACACACACCACGCCTCCTTATGCACCACCTTACAAGTGCCAAGTTTGTGTGTACCGTGCCAGTGTACACACTGACAGGTGTGTACACACCTGAGAGCCCTAACAAGAGCAATACGGTGCGATATAAACAATTAGCAAGAACAGGACTTCTCTGGCTTTCACCACCAATACAATTTAAAACCCAGCTTCTCCCCAGCACCAGTCTCGTTTAGCAGACCACCACACTACATTTGCGGTTTATGGAGACCAAGATCTACTTAGTTAACGAGAGAGAGGTAGAATACACACACAAAAAAAAACCCTCTGCCTAATATGTTGGACGAACCCAGCCTACCAAGTGACCTTCAGTGATGGAGGATCATATATAAAATACTCTCCCGTCCATTTCTCTACCAGTATTTCCGCCTGGATTTCTGCGGGTGGAAGCCATGCCCTGGTGCAGGCCGAGGCCCCCGTGGCAGGCCACTTTCCTCTCGCCTACCCCAGTTTACAGTGGTGAACCGGACCCAAAACAGGACTCGGAGAGTCAGTAGACAGTTGAGCAGTTCTAACATATTTGCCTTTATACGTCAGCCAGCCTCACATTACCTGCCTGCTTGTAATTTATAGCGAGAGCGCGGCGCTCATACTACCCGCCGACGCAGCCGCGAGCTCGGGAATTAGCCACAGCAGCCGTGGAATAAATACTCACAAGTAAAATAGGCAGAATATTTGCTGGCAAAATTAAGGTTGAGGAAACACAAGTTGTGCGCCTGCGCCGACCCTGGCAGCCCCGGATGTTAACAAGTGACGAGCGGCAGCCCCGTCCCTCCACCTCTTACTTCAACTCTCTCCCCAGCCTTATTTCATCCCTACCCTTACCCTACACCTATGCCATATTTTAATAAATATAGGGATTGTTCAGTTCTTATGGGGAGTGTTTGATTTTTGGGTTTTGTAATGTTATCTGGTGGAGTGGGTGATATTCCAGCTGGTGGTTTGTGGGTGTCTGTGCCACTGGGTGATGCCACATTGTTGACACAACAATAAACATATTAAGTCAGTGTAATATTTGTTATATTAAAGTATTACCTTTATCTTATCAGCCCCTAAGTAAATAAATTATTATTTCTGTTGCCTGTAGGTTCATGGTTTTCCCTAACTCATATATACTAAGTGCCTTACAGTCGTTATGTGGTGTTAATAAAGTTAGACGTATGTTTTATATTTATCCTTGGTTCTTCTTATTACAGTTACAATTTTTTTTAATACATTTGAGGAATACACAAGAGCACAGAACCATATATGACAAAATCCTTGAGGTTGAAGGAGATCATCTAGTGGTGTGACTCAGCTGGGAGGTGAATCCATCAATATAGCGGCGGCAAAGGTTTATATGAAGAATCAAATCTTCCAAAATATATTGCTTTTGTTACTACAAGAAGTTTATTGTTTCTTGAAATATTTAAGTCTGGCGTCTATTGTCATTGATAACGACGCTCTGTGTGTAACAAAGTTTAGTTGGGTAAGAATGTGCATCCGGGTGAAACTACGTCGGGTGCTTAGCCGGTGGTAGTTAGCCACTATGGCTGCTTAATTACTACGCTGGAGGTTTAACCTGTAGCAGTCATGGCCTCCGTCGAGGAAGAGGCGCTGGACCCCAGGGTGCAGGTAGGCTCCTTGGAGTTGAAATGAATTGATGCTCAATGTTTACATTTCTGTGACTCGATAAAAAAAAAACATATCTTGAGAAGGGAATCACAAGTTTGTTGCCTTTTGTTATGGAAGTCAGGTTGTTGTGGCACGAGAACCAAAATATGCCACAACTAAACTCTTGAGATGCTTGTCAATAGTTCACAGTAGACATGTAACTTGTGCACTGTAATTTTTGCAAGTATTAATAAATTTCTTTAGGATATGAGGCCTATATATATATATAACTACTATTAGGCTTATATTAAGTCTCCCCTCCCCAAGATCTACCTAGTAACCTCTCCCTAGGATGCAATCCCTATTACCCCACAACACCCGGGATCAAATCCCAGGTGGGATGGAGAGTTGGGCACATTTTCTACTTAACCCTAAGACAGTGGCTATAGAGAAGTGGTCATACCCGCCTATGCACGAGAAATCTAAAAATTCCAAGAAATAATTTTTCGGTATAAAATTATTAATTTGTATGCAGAGTGTAAGAAACGCGAAAGCGAGCGAATATTTATCGTTTCACTGGGTGGAGGTATCCTGCAAGGCGGTGTCTGGCACTTGTCAACGCCTGGTGCTCAACTTTGCTGACGCTTCCTGTTTTATACTCCGATGTTTCACATTGTTTTACACTTTTTTCTTTATTTATATCCAGAGCTTTTATATCCATATTTGCATCATTGATGTAAAATCCAAATAATAATTGTTTAAATAATCATATGATAATTGCTTTCTCCTGGTAACATTCTTCATAACCGCATTTGTACCATGAAATGGTAGGAGTTTTTTCATGGGTCAAGGTAAAGTTCATTATACAATATCCATATAGATCTAATATTATATCCATTTTTACCTCATACATGTAAAATCCAAACACTAACTCTTTAAATCTTTTTGTGACAACCGCATTACCCTCTTGATCAACACTTGACGTTAACTGCTGTCTAAGGGATAAATTCAATGATTACAAATATTGTGAAGAACTTGCACAGAATCATAGAAAAATTTTGTATATCATATTTATTGTAAAAGGGTTCTACGAGCTACTTTTCATGTTTCAATATGCTTTTGGAATTTTGACAGCCTCATATTGTGTGTTGTGTTTTTTTTTTTAGTACTGTTCTATGCAGTAATGCAGGCCTTTTTTGGTGACTATCCAGATACCAAGGACTTTAGCGTATGTGATGTGTTGCCAACACTGTTACCTACCCCCCTTCCTCCTTTTTTTGTCCAATAAAAATTAAATGTATCCTTGAAATTACCATATTGTTTAAAATTCTTGCCTAGTTTTGTTTTGGCCAGTGCGACAGCATTCGGTAATTTTTGCTGTATTATATCTTTTGGCTCTTTTTCAAATTCACACCATATATGTTTGTAACATGTAAAAAATGTTCCTGATTGTTTCCTCCTTTTTGGGTTATCTATAAATGTAATTAGTTTACTTTTATGTTCCATTTCACTGGCTCCCTTAGCTGTCACCTTTTAAAGAATTTTTCCTTATAATTTCTACCTTGTTGAACCGTTTTGTTTTCATCTAATGTTCTCTTAACTTTTCAGTCTCGCTTTTGATAGGTATCTTCTTGGATTTTCTTGCATTTCTTGGGATGTCATAATTTTTTACGGTTCATTCTCGATGGGTGATTCAATCCATTAATATTTCCACCGATTATTCTATAGTTGGATAAATTTTCTATTGTTGAGGCATTGATGATTTGTCATCTTTACATCCTATAATTACTCAATGTAAAATTTTTGTTCCTAGGTAGTAAGTGGTATTGTCAAATTCCTTATGCCTCAAAAGTATAGGAAATGGCTTCCTCCTCAAACCTTTGCTTTGACTTTTGCCTAAGAAAGCTTAGGGAAGACATCTTCAAGGCTGTCTACTCCTTGTCTAGAGCTGACACATTTTCAGCAGCTGGCAATCTTTGGGAATCTTTGACATCTTCCCTAAGCTGTCTTAGGCGAAGGTCTGAGTGGAAATAACCATTTCTTATTTACTTCGGAGGCATAATCAATCTGAAATACAGTAGTACTAAATATCAAGAAACAACAAAGCAAAATTGCTAGTACTGTATAGACTTCTGCAGTATATGTAGTGTATACTGTATCAGTTTATGTATTTGACAATTTCTTTCTGATGTCCTTACTGATCAGATCACTGTAAACTGACTTTCCTAACTACATACTAAATTTCTTTGGCATATTAAGCATAGGCCTAGATCAGTTCAATTTCCTCCTCGTATTCTTCTTATCTTTGTGACCTTTTTTTTTTTTTTTATATATATATATACAAGAGTTCTTACATTCTTGTACAACAACTAGTACGCATAGCATTTTGGGCAAGTCCTTAATCCTAATTTTCCCTAGAATACGAGTCACCGAATCATTTAACAACCAGGTACCCATTCGCTGATGGGTGAACAGAGGCTACAGTTAAGGATTGGTGCCAAGTAAATCCTCCCCGGCCAGGATACGAATCCAGGTCAAATCGCTTGCGAAGCACTGAGAGAATGTTTTATCACTACGCCACGGGGACTGCTTGGTGCAGTCTTTCATATGTCCAAATTTACTTTCTCTGCCATAGCCTGTCTTTGCCTAATACTTGACATGGTAGCATCTATATTTCACCTAACATTTCTAAAACTTTTTTTTTAACTTTTCAAAATTCGTTCATTTTTAACCTTCAGTGTCTCATTTTTTCTTATTTGCTATACAGTATATACCTAACTACTTCACCATCTGCCCATTTAATCTTCCCAATTTCTGTTCTTGAACTCGTCTGCCCACCTTCAAAGATGCTACATTCTTCACCAGGATGTCTTTGTTCATCCCTACTTTAATAATGATTTTTTCTCAAATTAGTACATTAGTAAAGGGCATTTCATTACATTCAAAATTTGATTTTTAGTATAACAAAGTGGGCCATTAAAAATAATTAATCTGTTCTTAATCTTATCTAGAGTGTACATCAGATGTCCAGATGCCAAAGTCCGTATCTTGGATAATTCCATTACTGTTTATCAGTATTTTACTCTAGAGTATCATACTTGAATATATTGAGCTTGTGTTAATTGGGTACAAATACATTACTTAGTACTGTGTTAAAAAGAGGTATTCTGTATTGTATTAATTAATTTTCTACATAATGAAAACTTTTAACTCTTGATGGGAAAAAACATAAAAAAAAATAATTTTTTGTTAAATAGTTAAGTCCGTGTGTGTGTTTGAATTAATAGCAATGCCTGACATTACACTCTACCTACAAGAAAAGTACCTAACAGGAAAAATAGCACCAACTCACTAGCACATCCTCTTCTCTGAAATCCATACACATTACTAAAGATTTAAAGGGCTGATGGCTGAAAACTCCTACCCCTAAACCTATGTTGCCAGGTCGATATATGGGGACTGTTCTCTCACTTCCTCCAAGGTCCAAAACCATCATTGGCAAGTGTACACAGTCAACCTCTTAAAACATTCTGTAAACAACTGTTTTCAAAATTGTAGTTTAAAGACTAGCTGCCTGAACTAAGGACATTAGTTTTGGAGCTCTAAACATAGCAGAATTGCATCAGCTAATTGTCTTGACTGGCTGGAATCTAACCATTACTCTCTCTCTCACTAGGAAGTACATATGATTAATTATAATTTCTAAACCATATTCATTTGTATGTACTGTTTGCATAACACTTGTAACATTTATATGTGCAGGTTTGTTTATTAAATTTATACCTTGTATCATAAACCTTTATTATTAACACTTTCACTCCCTCAACTCCTGGATAATTTCCTAATTTTCCCATTTACACTGCAGTATCAATGTCAGGGAGCCCCTTATCATTTGATTACGGTAGCTCTGATGACATTGGTCAAGGCAATGTACAGCTAGATAACGGACATTTGTGCATCAACCCAAAAATACATTAATTTCATTCTAATGTTTATCACCTTTTAAGTGTTATTGTAAAGTCACTAATAGAGCAGTGGCTATTAGGGCAGATGGAATGCCATGCACACTAAACAAAAAAAGTAAAAGCAACGTAAAAAAAAACTGCTATGTAAATCTCTTCACTGTGTGGTAGCTGTAGGATAAAGTACAAAGAATAAAAATTTAAATACTATGACAAAAATAACTTTAACAATTTACATGAAATAAAAATAGTTCCTCTATGACTTGGCTTAATAATACAGTGCAAAAAGGAAAAGCAAACAAACACGTTAATGTTACGTTAATTAAAGATCAAAATAATTCGTGTTGAAAATACTACTATATGTACAAACGGCGTAAATTGACCAACACACAGGGTAGTGTGAGAGCAGATGTTGCTGGTATGAGCACTGGAGAGTATTCTGCTGGTGGTGTATTCTCTGGGAATCCCAGATTCCCAGCTTTCGCAAAGTTCTAATGGAGATTTACCACCATTACTTTGGTCAAGAATGAGTGCTCGTCTTTCCAGCGTGTCACCATGCTCCTGCAACTGTGGTATCCCTACACTGATATACCTTCCTTAATTGGCTTGATCAAGACATACCTAATTGAGTAGGTTGTTGCTCTATCTTAAAGTAACTCTTAACTTTTATATTAAAAACCTTACTTTTTTTTTTTACACAAACTTAAGCCACAGTAGAATTATTATAATTAATTCATTGTCGAGGGACAGGCAGCCAGTGTATGTATGCATGTTAGGCTTATATAAAGTCCCCTCTCCCTCCCTCCAGGTCAAATTACTGACCCTCTCCACAATTTAACCCCACAACAAGCTGAGACTAACTCCTGGATACCAATTTATTGCTAGTTGAACAGGGCCTTAAGTTATAGAAAAAGTGCCCAATTTGTCCTGCTCAAAATTCAAACCCGGAATTCTCAATTGTGTGTCAAGAACAAACCAAACTGTAAATTAGTAACTGGGAAATACAGGAAGTTAGCAGGTAGAGTTTAGAAATATCCTTCAAAATTACATTTATTTGCCTCCTTAAAGCTTGGTACTGTCTATAAAATTGTAAAGCTTGAATCGCTACTACTGTATTTAGTTTAAATGAAGCATTACACTGTTTAACATTTCATGGAAGGTGGTGTGGTGTTGGTAACCTTCACCAGTTCTCAGAGGCCATACAATTGCTGACTTTGCAGTTACTTGTTTTCATTTGTATTGATCTTTACCATTCAGATGATTGTGTGTACAGTATTAGTATTGTTGCCAAGATTTGTTTGCATCTCTGATATCAGGAATGTTTCTGATGTGAAAAAATAATTAGCTAATAGTTTCTCTATCTTTCTTCTTTCTCTTCTGTTTCTCCTCTCTTATTTTTCTTTTCTCTTCTACTACTACTCAGTAACTCAGTATCTGTAGTTTTTCTTCATGTCACAATATATATACAGTATATAAATTATTATACTGTAATACAGTATTCAGTATTGGGTGCATTTGGATATTAAAACAAAGACGTTTTGATTAAGTACTCTGCCTGTGAAGCATTTGTGGGTCAAGCTACTTGTATTCTGATCTCTTATATCAAAGCCAGATTAAGAAAGGTTGTAATTTTGATGTGCTGGATTTACTATGAAGCTAAAAGCATGTTAATTAAAAGTGAAATGACAGAAATGCTACAAGATCATAACTGAAAGCAAATGAGTGATGTCAAGAAATATTCCTGTTACAGAATAAATTGTGTTGTGATAGTGAATAGCTTTTCAGGTTGTATTTCAAGGTTCTTGTGAATGAAATGAACTTTTGAGAGAGCAAAAGTTTTTTTTAAATCACGGACATGGCCACTCATTTAAAATACTAAAGAGCATACTGTAATAATAAATGAAACTGCAAAAGGCCTATAGGTCCATGTGAGGCAGCTCATTTCTACCAAAGGCAATCACTGTACTGCTGTATTTATACTCCTGGTTCGAATAAACTTGGACCATGTGCATTCACTTTAAATTACCCATATGTACAGGTACAGTACTATGACTCGGGTTTTCTCTGTATAGCCTACTGCACCCATTTCTTTTGTCACTCGATGGCGGTGAAAGAATAATTTTACCATTTTTTAATCATGTATTATATACAGTATACTGCATTTACAATACGAGTTTAATTATAGCAAACACATTGCAGATTGAACTGGAGAAATTAAACACGGCAACAGATGATATCAACAAGCTTGAGGCCAAACTAGAAGTAAGTACACATGCTTTATTTTATTGTTGCTTTATCAACTTTTTGGGGGGAGCAAGTAAAGTAAACGTGAAAAGTTTTGTACCGAGCCGTGCACTTGGTTTTCTCTATGTGAGGTCTAATATGTTTATTTGAACAGAATTATTAATAGGCCAAGCAGGGACCTCATTGAGGAGCGCCTCGCAAGGCTATGTTGGTGTTAGGGAGAACTGAGAAACATGGAATCCAGCTTGGGAATTGCCTCCAAAAGATCAATAAATTAAAATTTAAAGCTCCCTTTCAAAAGTTGTTTTTGGCATCACATGTCGTTACCACGGGAGCACTTACTGTCAGTTTGGCTGCCTGGCACCGGCCTCCAGGCAGCAGCACAGTACATTGTTTTCCATGATAAACGGATCAAAATAATAAATGTAAGACAGATTGATATCTTGCTTATCTAACTATTTTATGAATTGCACTACCTGTACTTGCAGAAAAAATGATGGATTGATAGAATAAATAGCAGTCTAAATAATTTACATTTGCATTTTGCTTCCTTAGCTACTGCCCGCAGGGGGCAGGTGCTGTCACTCACAAAGTGGTAGGCGAACACATTAGTGTTCATTTATCAATGATCATTTACTGTGAATGGCTAGTCTTGGTATCGGGAGTTACATTGTGGCTTTGGTTATGCTACAGTCAGGAGCTAGTGCTTCACACAAGATTCCAATTAAACACCACAAAGCACAGCTGCTCAACATAAATTATGCTTAATTTGCATGGCTCCTCACACAAGTACACTATCATGTATTAACCTTACACTGGCAGGTGGTTCCGAGGTGAGTAATGCTGGGGTTAAATAACTGTTAATGGGACAACTTGTATCTAACCCACAGGTTTCCCCCCTCACCCCTGCCTCCCCCCCCCCTCCCATCAACATGCACATGTGTCTGTGTCTCTGTCTCCCCACCCATTAGGTTCACATACACACTTGTGGATACACAGCCACATACATTCGCCAACGCTTTTTTTTTTTTTTTTTTTTTTTTTTTTAGGCCACTTTGTAACTCTTTGTATCTACCCTATTTCTTTCTATCCACTAGGATTGGTGGGGGTGGAGTTCTGTTTGGGTGGCTCAGAAATGAAGCGACTGGCTGGCTAGGGCCTTGAGTAACCTGGGCTGCCATTTGGTGTCAGTCATGCACATTACTGCTGGGGTGTTTACCTTGTGATTTTGTCTTAGTATCTAGAACTATTATGTGGGATGACTCCGTCAAGTGACCCTGTGGTGTGCGTGTATTTTTACCACTTGATTGTAGAGTAGATGGTCAGCCTGCCCAATTGGTAATTAGGGGGGGGAGTGCTTTATTGGCAGTTGCATGTGAATGCCAGTGAGACCTTCAAAATTTTATGACTCTTACTAAGAGTAAGAAATCCCCAGCTGTACAAACCTCCTAGCAACCTGGCACTTTGACTGATAAACCACATAAACCACTCTCTCCCACAGCACATCTCCAACCACTTCAGATATTAAACACGCTGTACTACTGGCACGTCAATGAAGACAAATGCAATCACATCCCAGACGTAAAGATCCAAAATACGACAACATAAAATAACCCAACATTACTTAATGTACTCTAACTTATCCTACCCGAATCTACCCTAACTTCTCTGAATTGCAACTATGTAACTCCCAAACATACTTTGACTCACAAACTCGGTCTCTTGACTAAACCACACACTTTTTGCAGAACAGCAACCTTAGCTACCACCACAACTCATCTTTGTTATCCCGAGTCCATTTCCACTCTTATATTTATTTTTGTCTTTATTCTCACACAAATAGACGACCTCTAACTTTCGACCTCTGCCAAATTATGAACATTGATGCACCACTGTGAATGCCACATCTCTCAACGTTACCACTTGTGCAGTCATTAAGAAAAGCCTTCATGCAAACTGCATGTATCACGAAGGAGGAGGTCATTCCAAACGACATATATCTTCTAAAGTGCTCCCCAACAATATGGCCCTGTAAGATTGCTTGAAAAGTTGCAAGCTGCTCTGGTGTCAGAACATTATTCTGCTTGACTGTTACAGATTCTGTCCAGTAAACACGCGGATCTTACCGAAGAGGGCAACCAAGTGTGATAGTTTGTAAATACATACATAATTTTAAACGTAAAATGTATTAGTGGATAGCTTATTTTTCCCCACTTTGTGTTCATCTTTCCAGGAAGCTAATAATGCATTCAGAGCAACTCTTACTGAATCAACTGCAATCCTGAAAAATATGGCAAAAAAACTAGGAAGCTGTATTGAGAAGGCCCGGCCATATTATGAAGCTCGAGAGTTAGCGAGGACGTCGCAACTGGACTGTCAGAGAGCCGCAGTTCAATACCAGAGAGCTAATGGTAACTTATTCTAAAGTTTGGGTTTTATCTATTAGCAGCATCTGTTTTTCAGTTTCACACTTTTAAGGAGGGGTGAAATGCACTCATCCAGATGAGATGGGCAAACTCTGTAGGAAAATAGGGTTAAATATATTAAAGAGAACGCCTAATATTTAATTATGATTTCCATACTAGATAACATCCTGGGAAATGCCTACATCATTATCAAGAAATTTTTCTAATTAAATTTTATGCCTTACCTTGTGGTGATTAAACACCATGAGTCTGGCTAGTTATGCCTTTTATGTGTAGAGAGGGTATTGAAAAGTATAGAGCCTTTGATATTGATAGTTCTCAATGTGTACCTTTGCTTTTCAGTGGGGCTATTTTCCACATCCTGCCATGCCTCCTGGTCTCCTTTGATATTACTTCCGTGTGCAGATTTAGAACCAGTCTCTAATATTTTCCAGGCGTAAATTATGATGCATTTCTCTCGGCTGCACTCTAGAGAATTCGGATTTAAAAAAAGTCACAATAATTGAATGTTTTGTAGAGTGGATTCTATAAGTAAAGAATCTTTTTGTTAATTTTCTTCAGCCTTGAATGTGGTGTTACTGTGCAACAATATTCCACCCTAGAGAGCACTAGTTTCCTGAAAAGTATCATTGGTATGGCATCCCTTATTCTTGTTTTTGTTAGCTATCCTGTCATTTTTCTTTGTCATGGCAGCTACTTTGTGCTCTTCAAAGATAAGCACTTTCAACTTAATTACTCCCAGATCCTTTATATTGCTTTTTTGTTCTACAGTGTGATTTGACTATCACTACATTTAACAATGTAGTGTGATTTGACATTTTGTGTAGGTTCCATTTTTATATTTTAATTTCTTCTTTGGCATAGGAACTGAAACTTGTCTTCATTAAACAATATATTATCTGTGGCCCATTGAGAGACCTGATTTACATCAGATTGGAGGCTTGTTGTGTCCTCTATATTGTCTACTCTCATATCTGATTACTCTGAACATCCTAGTGTCATCTGCAGACGATGATAAAATACTGTACTATAGTTTGTGTCCTTGTCTGTCTTACAGATCATCTCCCTACTTTGCCAGTAATTCCTTTTGAACACATTTTATGCACAATAACACCTATGGTTACATTTGTTGAAAGCTTTTTGCAAAATCCGTGTATTTATGTTTTGCTTGTCTTCCATGACATCTAAGGCCATAGTGATCTAGGAATTGAGAGGCAAGCGCGCTCCTTTCTGAACTTGTGTTGTCCGGGGGTTATATAGACATTGGGATTCCATGTGATTTGTGATCCTTCTTCTTAGCACTCTTTCAAAGAGTGCTTTTGAAGGAGCACTCTTTGAAAGAGTGCTCTTTTGCAGCTGCTTTACTCTTTTGTTAAGTGGGGCGATCTCTGCTGTTTTAAGTACATAGAGAGAACACTGGTTATCTTGACATGATTTCGGGGCTCTTTTTAGTGTCCCCGCGGCCCGGTCCTCGACCAGACCTCCACCCCCAGGAAGCAGCCCGTGACAGCTAACACCCAGGTACCTATTGTACTGCTAGGTAACAGGGGGCATAGGATGAAAGAAACTCTGCCCATTATTTCTCGCTGGCGCCCGGGATCGAACCCTGGACCACAGGATCACAAGTCCAGTGGGCTGTCCGCTCGGCCGACCGGCTCCCTGCTCTCTAGGCCTTGTCTCCAAAAGTTTTGGACTTGTAATAGTGATGTTTTGAACTTCTTGGTGAATATAGAACTCCAGGAGTCTGGGCCTGGTGCAGAGTGCATGGGCATACTGTCTATGGCTACTTCTAAGTCCAGTGAGGTTAGAGTGACATCAGGTATTTGGTTCGATGTTGGTGTCACGTTCACCAAGAATTCGTTTGGATCGTTGATCTTCAATTTGTTCGTGGGTTTACTGAAAACAGTTGTACTATAGCCTCCATAGCCTCGGTGCAGTATTTCACTCGCTTCTTTGTTGTCATCTGTTAGGCACTTCAGATTTGTATAAGGTAACATTAACGACGATATTTTTGTCTGGCGAAAATTATTCAAATTAGAAACCCAAGTGATAAAATGAGTTTGTACATTATAGGCTATAGAGGTTATTAAAGGGGCTCAGACAATAAAGGTTATTTAGATGTACTGTATATATGTAACTGCAAAAAATGCAATAATTGGAAATAAAATTTGTTAAATAGTACAGTATCATGAGTTGATGCTGAGTAAAATTTCAACCTTGTAGGCTTCAGGTAATGGTTATAAGAATTATAGTGTACTGTATGTTAAGAAATAGGATATGAGTACTGTACAAACAATTTTAATTTCTAAGATATATGTCAACATAATGACGATGTCTTCACTTCAACAATTGACCATATATAGTTGTACATTTAGTCATGTTTGACATCTTTTTAAATTTCAGCACTTCACCACGCAGCCAGAGAAACCATTGCTCTTGCTGAAGAGAGATTTGTCAATTGCCGTCATGAACACTGGCAGTTTGACTCGGCTTGGCAAGAGATGCTGAATCATGCCACAATTAAGGTAAACATTGTCTTTCACATTCTTGTTTGTCTTATTAGTCAAATCCCAAAAAAGGATTTTAGTTTTCACTCGGTTTCTGGGGGAGCCCCTTGTAACTCCCTGAAGCTATACCCCGAGATGATTCCAATCTACCAGGTCTGACAATTTTGTCCAGGTCGTATCAGCCCTGGAGTTCTTAGGCCTACCGAGGACCAGAGTCAGAACCTGGCCCCCCTCCTCAGAGGCACAGGGAGTGGTGACATCTCACCAGGCAAGGCATAAAGAAAGTCATTGAGTCAAAACAAACCAATGCTGGGTTCGAGAGAGACTGAAGCCTCAAAAGCCTGTCTAATGAGCCTGAAGCCTGTCAGGTGGATGCAGTTTGTTTCCTTATTTGGATAGTTGATCATCATTCAGCTTGAATTACCGGTGTCGTCAGTGGCAAGTAGGTTTGTGGATGTTATGTGGGGTAAATTGAGAAACATTAATTGCTTGCAGTATAACACCCGAGAATTTGAATCAACCATACTTAAGAGTTGCTACAACCACAACATATTTACTTCACTATGTGGGGATGGACTTGTCTAGCTATTATCTAATTTAGCTTTGTTCAGGGTTTTTACTTCACTGCCACAGTAATTGTCCTCATTGTGAACATGTCGGTCCACAGTTGCATAATAATCAATTGGCCATCCATACATTTATTGGTACTGTAAATATTTGTGCATTTCATTGTTCATAAAGTGTGTACCAGGGACTTGTGCTGTTTTGAAACTCCAGCTTGAAGTGTTTCTGCCTTTATTGGGAAGAATATAAGGATGGGTCCTCGGTCAAATATCTACCTCTCCAGTGCATGCTGAAGTAATATAATGTGGAATGGCGCGGTGATATCTCTCGCTTTCACCCAACAAATAATTTCGTATCTAGTTTGTGTTGACACGGGGACCAATTGTTTTCAGGTGATGGAAGCAGAGGCTCAGAAAGCTGCCAGTGAGCGTGAACACATGCGACGTGCCTCTGTCTATCAGAAGGCTGAACAAAGAGTCCAGCAGTTGCAGCGTGGCCTTAGATCCTCGATCAATAAATCTCTCGTATATTTTGAAGAGAAAACAAAAGTTCACGCCCAATTGGAAAGTCAAAAGGAGAGAGTTCAACAACTACAAAGGGCAATAGCTGCTTCAAAGACATCATATGCACAATCTTTGAGGAGCTTAGAACAGGTTTGGTGCTTGGAAGTGTTTTCCTTCCCAATAAAGACCAGAGGCTAGACTCTGGTAACTTTACTTTAGCATAAATTATTTTAATTTTAATTGGATTTGAAAATAGATGTAGAGTAATGCATTATTCGAAACACAAATATACTGTATATGTACATTAAAAGTAGATATTTGTCTTTAAAATGACATTACAGTTATGAAGATGCCATATTTATTAGGATAATAACCTAACTAAACTACTATATTTAGGTTGCTGGATAATTAAAAATGTACAAAGTGCCAGCTTTTCACAGTATAGCCACACATAATGTACGTGGAGCCGGTCAGCCGAGCGGACAGCACGCTGGACTTGTGATCCTGTGGTCCTGGGTTCGATCCCAGGCACCGGCGAGAAACAATGGGCAGAGTTTCTTTCACTCTATGCCCCTGTTACCTAGCAGTAAAATAGGTACCTGGGTGTTAGTCAGCTGTCACGGGCTGCTTCCTGGGGGTGGAGGCCTGGTCGAGGACCGGGCCGCGGGGACACTAAAAAGCCCCGAAATCATTTTAAGATAACCTCAAGATGGTCTAATAACTATTTTATAGTCACATCCATAACAAATATTTGTAATGAACACTCCTATAATATCACATCTGGTTCCCGAATGTTCGGATAGTGTTAACTGTGCCAGACACTTGGTTGTCAAGCCTTCTCTTCAAGGAGCCATTTTAGTCATTTTTGGTTTCTTCGTGTTTGGATCCTGTAATTGCATTCAAACAAATTTACTTTTTTTTTTTTTTAACCAGATACTTTTTATGGTCCTGCATTCTATAGGCAGACAATATATTTCAACTTCTAAATACTTGAACTATTCCGATGGATGAAATTGGGGCCCCAAGTGATTTTGCATACCATTTGCATCTCTAGTAAGAAGGAAGCCTGCTGTAACCAGGCACTGTGGGCCACTAAATGTCCATACAAATATACATTAATTTATAGCAAAACTATTTTTATTATATGCTGATAAAATATTGTCCAAGTAACTATTATCATGTTATAAGTGTTCTCTATATAATATACAGTACAGGTATATAAATATATAAATAAATAAATTAAATAATAATATTATGGAATATAATCAAAGATACAACCACTACCAGGTATGTATAATCGCCAAATTAATTTTTTTTTTTTATTATTATACAGTATTTTTAATAAGAATGTGCTACTAAGAATACACATGAAAATTAATTCAACAAAATGGGTCAAGTAATCTTGTACTATACCATAAGTGTTACGAATGCATAGAATATAATCATTTCTACACAACATGCCACAGTTTGCAAAACATACATTGATAAAAAATTTGAAATAGGAGGTATTCTAGGCTTAAGTTTTTCATACCATCTGTTTTTAATAACAATGGCAATGTGTACTCAAATCCAAACTCGCTTTAAATGACACGTATCTTGTCAAATATTACAAGATTCAACAAATTTTTCTAGGCACCTAAGAATTCTAACTTTTGCATGGAATGACTTGTTCTTTGATCAGATAATTCTGACTTTTACAGCATAAAATCTAATTTTTACTTGTTTGTATTTTGGCTATAATGACCCAAGATTAGTTTTGTGTGTGTGTGGCTAAACATTGTCAATATTTGCCTCACTGGAGCTATTATCTTTTTATAAGGTACAGTTTAGATTTTTACTCTTAAAAATAGAGCTGTAATGTAATTCCCTAGTAAATGCCTGTATTTAATAGTACAGTACTGTATTGACAGATATCGGAAGAAATTCATGAGCAGCGTAGGTGCCGCTTGCCAAGAGAACCTGGTGTAGGTGCTGAACTCACTCCTCCCGAAGCTGTTGATGCTGTCTTGAATAACCACGGTGCCAAACCCTTCTCCCCACTGGAAGAAATGACTGCGCAGGAGGAGAAAGTACGTCTTTATCTGCTGCACTTGCTACCATATTCCATAGGTCACGTTTTTGTCAGTACAGTAATGTATTTTAGCGAGACTGGCCTAGAAAATTCACAGTACAGGGGTACTGTACTGTATAGCAAAAAAAAAAAAAAGTGGAAATTTAGACCAATTTAGCTAGTTGGACAGTGAAATGTTCAGAATGAGAAAATCAGTAGGAGCCATGGGGAATCTAGCAGTTAGGTTATGAAGCTAATCCTTCATAGCCTAACTGCTATAAGGTGCCTCCTTTGTGTACGAATGCAATACCTGGCATGTGTTGCGATTACACGAGGGCTGATTTACCGTAAATAAGTTATTCTATTCAGGGTCTCGCAGCATAAGTTTTAGAATGGTGGCTAATTTTGTTATGCTCATTGCTCAGTAGTAAAGATTTTTTTGCATTTTGTTGTAGCTGATTTTGTTCGTTTTGTTAGATGTGATAAATCACAATAAGTTTAATTTCTAAACATATTCAAAATTTATAACATTTAATGTATCTTTTCTAGTAATATACTATGAATCTGTGTTAAAAATATACTTAGTAAACACAGGTTCTAGGTTTTTGTTTCATCTGTTAGTGCTGGCAGGTCTTGTAAGTTTTACTAATCATATTAAGCATTTGTTTGTTTTTTTCCAGTACTGGGAATCTTTACGAGAAAAATTAGAGAAGCTCCAAGTCTGTAGTCCACAACTTGTAGTGACAACAAATGATGCGGCTTCATCAAATGGTGAATCTGCAGATGCCCGTGAGCGCTCTGTAACGGGGAGCAGCTGTGCCTCCAACTGTGATTTAGACCAAGTGGCAGGAATGGAAAGAGTCGTGAGTGGGGAGAGCTGTCATGGGTCAGAGGGTGATGAGATACATAGCCCCATGGAGGGAAAGGAATTGTCTCTAGATGATGTATTCCTCCGTGTAACAATCTATGCTGGCAATGTGCCCGAGAAGGGCAAATCTCTAACAAAAGAAGAGATACAGTGCTTGCCAGACAATTGTGTTGATGAGAGTACAAATTCTTGGAATAATGTTAATAAGGAACCTTTGTTATCCCGCAGAACCCCTGTTGGTGGTCATGCATTTGAGGTTGATAATTTAGATGTAGTTGATAGTAATGGACACAATATACCAGTGGATGATAGAACTACAATTTCTTTGGTAATGAATAAAGATTTAGCAATTGGCTCTGTAGAGAAGGAGATAGAAGTAAGTAAAAAGTGTAATGAAGGTGAGAGTGCTGCACTTGACGTGGATGTCAAGGATGTCAAAATTGAAATTAATGAATGCGATGCAGAAAACAATTACACACATGAAGATTGCAATAGCGATGAAGAAGTTTCGGAAATCATTAAAGGTATCAAGGAGGGTTATAAAGGTGAAGGAAATGTTGAGAGTGAAAGTAATGAGAAGCTGGGAGAGAAGGAGGAAGGAGATGGATCATCCAGTCCTCCTCCAGCCATGTGCCAACCATCCAGGGTTCTGAGTGTTATCCCAGAGTTAGTGGAAAGCCCACATGTTCCTGGAGATTCACTCTCTCAATCAGTTTAATATTACCTCTTAGCATCTGCTCGTTTCTGTAAAGGGGCAGATTATAAAATATACGCATATTTTTGTAGGGCTTTTTCAGAGTAGCAAGTTAAGTGTTCCAGTTACCAGTAGAAGCACTGCTGTCACAGATCAGGAAAATTGAAGACATAATTTTCATATGGCTGGTCCTTGTTAAAAATATTTTTCTTTATCCACTTCTAATTGATAGTGTATTTCACACATTACATTAGCTCGGCACCGTTATTAGTGTTGTTGGCTCCCCTGCTAGTGCTCGCTCATTGTGCTCTTTCATGTTTTCTAACTACTTGATCTCGCTCGCAGGTTAGTGCCCTAAAAGGTGCGTCTTGTGGCCTCGTTCATTATAATGCAAGTGGCAAAAAAATGCTTCCCCTTGGTTTAGCTCACCTAAATTTTAACATTGTTTAGCGAGTGGTTTTAAAGATGCATGATCTCATATTGTGGGAAGAGCTATAACACAGATGGTGTGGAAGAACATTTGCCTTGGCCACTACAGCACATACTAAATTCAATTTCGTATAGTTTTTAATACAGTACAATAAAACCTCTACTCCTGAAAATATTTTAATTTTCATAAATTTTATGAATTATTTTAGCAACCCATAAAAATATATTTTTTTTTTTTTTTACATCCAAATTGTAAAATGGTTAATCAGATTACAAGAAACTGATTTGATTTAAACATCTTTATAATTTATGGAAACAAGAGTTATTAAATCATTGCAAAAGTAATTAATTCTATGGAAGATAGGAAACACTGCTACATTATTCAACTCTGTTGACCTTGGTGCATGCTCTTTCCAGGTTAAGACGATGTGTTCTTTAAAAACACTTGAGAAATAATTTGAAAGACAGTAAATGTGCTTTCTGAATTCTCTTCAGGTTATATATTCTCTTGTTAAAAATTAACATAGATTTGCAACCGTAAGGTTAGAGATCAAAAAATTTTTTACTTAAATCATTCGGTCTGGTTGTGTCCAATGTTTGTTACCGTCTTCATGCTAGACATGTAATGGCTGCATTTCCCTGCCACTGGTGGGTGACGGCAAGCGACATTTGTAATACTCGGATAATATAAACAAATTTTTATACTAACACCCAAAAGTTGGTTGGATCTTTTTAATCAAGATTGGTTTATGATGCTTTCTGTATAAAAAGATACATATTATGCATTTGCATCATTCAAATAAGTCTGGAATTGTGCACATTATGCTAAAGTGTGAATCTAGCCAGTTTGCATCATGAGTACAGTACAGTACTGTGTATTCTCTCTTCAAACTGAACTGTGTATGCTCATACTGGATCTTTTTTGTTATGCATCATGAACAAGAACTTGAGCAGCTTATAATGTCGATGATCTCTCTTCCCGCCAAACACACACCGAAACTACGACGTTGGTACAACGTTCGAACAAGTTTTAACACCTAACCTGTTATAACAACCAATATAGCAAGTTGTAACAACGTTCTAATACGTCATAAACACGTTAAGCCAAGATGTAACAACTTTATTACAAGTTGTAACAAGCGGAAAATAGAGAGTTACGGTTTCTGTTTCCAGGGTTTAGAGTATGCTGGTGACTGGCTGGCTGGTTTGTGTTCTTGTGAGAGTCCCAAAGCAACTGTGCTCTATAACCAGTCCAAGTCTTTTTTATTTTATTTTTTGTCATTTAGTTTATTTAGGGCTTTTGTATATTATAGTCAAGCTGTTAATCTTAGGGAAATAGCAGTGCTGTATTGTACAATAACAAAATCAAATGTGTTACTTTAAATCATGTATATTTAGAGTAGAGGAAGCCTTTATTAATTGTGATGAATAATTTAGATGTAATTTTCTAACCTCAGAAATACTATACAGTACCTGTATCTTGTGTTTGAATGAAATGTGTTGGACTTCTGGATTGAATGGTTGTCATTATTTGGTAATGTTTTAAGAATTATAAAAGGGCAAGCAGCCATCATGTATCGGTAGTAAAATTAGTATTTTATCTTTATTCTTACTGTAGGCCTATAGGCCTTTTGGAATGTAAACAGGTTATGGTTAAAAAAGCTATATATCCAAGGATGAAAAATGTCTATTTTTTATATATTATTTATAATATAGCTATATTGGGAAAAATGTATATTACAAAATTTGAAATGGTAAAAGGAATGTTGAAACATTGTATTAACTCTTAAGGCCAGAAAGATTATTTTCTCATGATGTTGACTTGTTAAACATATTTTAATTAAAAACAAAAATTACCAAGATTTGTCAGATCACTTGCAGTGCAACTGGTTGAAATATTCCTCTCATAAAGGATTTAATAAACTCAAGGTAATCTTAAGGTTCACTTGTGCAGTTGTCTGGATGTATGACAGAGCCATTATGTTTATAGAGAACTCTGTGCCATTATATAAATATTTTAAAATCCTTATTAGAAAATCTTGCCAAGATGCTATTTAATAATATTGAACAGTGACAGCCTTGAATAATTATTAGATAAAGTACTTGTCGGAATATTGTTTTCCTGTTCTCGTTGGAGGGCATAAACAGAGTGAAGACAATGAACACGTGCCTTGCATAATTCATTGTTATTGTTATTTTTTCTCTAACCATTTGTTTTTTTAATTGGAAACAAAGCTTCAAACTTCGTATTGCCAATAATGGTTGTGTTCCCATGGTCTATCCATAAGTGCCGAAAAGGTAAAGAAATGTGTTCAGTTTCTTCTGTTATTTCTTTAACGTTTTCATTCTAACAAACTTTTTTGGTATTTTCAGCATCATATTTAGGTGTATTAAAGTACTTCCAGATCAAACATTTCAGTCTTTCAATAATTAAACTACAGGTTAGATTCTACTTCTATCAAATTCAAGAACACTTGGATGTCATATTCCAGTGGATTCATTCTCATCTCACTTTCAAGACAATGAGAAATGTGCCTTGAGAGAGTGCTACTTTTATTATTACATATTGCATATTTGCACTTTTTAATGTTGAATAGGGTTGCTTTCTTGATGACATTACATCTCGCCGAAATGAACGACCATTTCACTCGATTGTGCCCTACTTGAGGGTAGGTATCATATCTTCATGTTAAACTAATAATGGCTTTTTAGAGAAACTGTCCTCCCTCGTGACCAATGCCTTCACGGGGCAGGGGAGGGGTGAGGGATTTAGATGGCTTCAATGCTCTGAAGGTAATTTGAGAGTAGCTTTCCATGCTCCTATTTTGGCCTAAGGCGAGAAGCGAGACAATACTTGGTCATATGGATTCACACTGCTCAAGGATTCTCGGTATGGGGAAACCTTCTCCTTTCTCTTCATCTGGAAGTTGATCTTGCCCAGAAGCCTAAACTTCTTGTGGGTAACTTGATCTTTTGGTCGAAGATATCAGGTGGCTGGACTAGGAGTCAAGCATTGTCATGATGATATAAAGACTGTGTTAGAATACCAAGGGCACTTCATTGTCTAGGTGTATTTGTACAACCAACCTTTGTGTCAAATGGTCCAACATCCTTGATGTAGCCTAAGTTACATTTGATAGAACCCCTCTGTTCTTGATAGAGATCAAATATTAGAGATTTGTCCCTTGCTTGTGCAATACATATTGTAAATTTAGTCATAGTCCTTCTGTTTGTCAGTGTGGTAGTCTTTTGCCTATTTGTTCAGAGATCGGCCACTCTAAATTGATGTGTGCAGTTCAACCAGCTCGTTGTATATATATATAATTGAGGTGTTCATCCTGCTTTTTCTTGATAACGTCAATTTTAAATTGGAGTAATCCCTCCTGTAACATAAATAAAAATTTTCTTTCCTAAGATGAAACTTCAAAATACTTTAGACTTATCTTTATTAGCATAAGATTGCACTGCTCGTGCAGTGCACAGGGAGCCGAGCGGACAGCACGCTGGACTTGTGATCCTGTGGTCCTGGGTTCGATCCCAGGCGCCGGCGAGAAACAATGGGCAGAGTTTCTTTCACCCTATGCCCCTGTTACCTAACAGTAAAATAGGTACCTGGGTGTTAGTCAGCTGTCACTGGCTGCTTCCTGGGGGTGGAGGCCTGGTCGAGGACCGGACCGCGGGGACACTAAAAAGCCCCGAAATCATCTCAAGATAACCTCAAGATAACATGGCCTGTTCCTCTGCTCGTGTACCTCTTCAAAATTACTTTAACATCCATGTCCATAATCTTGACTGATATGTCAGTTTTCACTCCTACATTCTGATGCCCTTTACCTCCATTGTCACACCCTGAACTCCAACTCGCTTTGTCTTGGCTCTCTTGCTGCATTCATAATCATAACTGATATTCAATCCCATCCAAGCCTCTCCAGCTGAAGCTCTTGATGACACAAGTTTTATCCAGGCTACAAACCTGCACCTCCTACAGCAAGAGAAACCCACTTCCTAGTCTTCCTCCCTAAGGTAAGGTAATGTACCTATTGTTCCTCTGAACCTTCCACAACATCCATGTTTGTTGTTAAGCCTTATGACAGCCTGGGTTTTCTATTTGGCAGTTGCCCAAGCACCTTTTGAACTTTCCCTTTAACCCTTCTCTCCTCAAACCTGTCTTAATACTCAAAAGTCTGTTCAGTCTTTAACAGATATTGAGTTTTACATCACAGTTGAGGGTATATCTTTACCTTGCGATCCTGGAACTACAGTGAAAGCTTTGTAAAGAGACCTGGAGAATTTTCCGCTGGGATTACTAAATCATCTTGGGTGTGATGTCACGAACAGCTTCACATACCAGGCAATTGCCAGAGACAGCAGGTCATCAGCCAAGCTATGGGAGTAGATCTACTCTCAAAATCAACAGGTCAGACTATTACCTTTTGGAAAGGGGAATATATATATATATAATATAGGTATGTAATATACATGCACATTATGAGTACAGAAAATCACAACGCTGATCTCAAAAAATGCTAAATAACCCACAATGAATGGAAATAATTTTTCATCGGAGCATGCTTTTGGGTTTACACCCTTTCTCATATACTGTATAATCTCACTTAATCAGTCTGATTTTCTGAAACTTTAGGTTCTCGGCAGTTTTTGAGGCCGGATAAAAACTATGTGGTATCCAAACAATCGGATAGCTTGAGATTTGGCCGGATAACACAGACTGGCACAGTCCTAGTCAAATTTGGATAATTTTTTTAGCAAGCCTTTGCCATATTCGGATAATGGGAAATTTGGTTACGAAAATTTTCAGGAACTACACACTTACAAATTTACAGTATCCTGCAAGAAGACAAACTACAACAAAGCTGCAGTTTCTCTTAAATTATATTCTTGATTTATTGTTGTGGTACAAAAAAATGTACAAATATGGACATTTTTGGACTTTCCCTTTAAGAATTCTGCTTATCTGAATATTTGGCTTCTTAGGCAGGGGGGGGGGCTTATCAAGGCTTATCACTCCATTTCCATCTTCACCAATGGGTCTAAATCTGCAGATGGTGTAGGCTACTCTTGTTTCCTGACCACACCTATGTGTGTGGCCTGCCTCCTGAGACTAGCATCTTCATGGCAGAATTTTATGCTCTTCATCAACTGCTTTCTCACTGTCTATCCTCCTCTGTTGTAGTAGTTGACTCTTTCAGTGCCCTCATGGCTCAGGAGTTCTTTAATCCAGTCCATCCTGTGGTAGTCAAAATTCAACATTGGCTGTTTCTTATCTCTAGTAGATTTAAGACAGTGGAGTTTTGCTGGGTTCCCAGCCATATTGGCATGTCCTTTAATGAGCGTACGGACGCTGCCACTAAGGAAGCTATCCGCATCTGTCCCTATCTCCCGTAAAGATATTCTTTATTCCAACTTTAACCCAGTTATTCATTCCTTCATTCTTGCCCGTTGCCAGGGTCGTTGGTCTTCTGTTACTGGTAACAAACTGCGTGCTCTTAAGAGTAGTCTCTCACCATAGCCTTCCTCCTACCACCGTAACCGGTGGTGGGAAACGACTTTGGCGAGGTTAAGTATTGGCCATACACGTTTAACTCACAGGCACTTAATGGAGCGTTAGCCTCCTTATTGTCCAAACTGCGTTGTCCCTCTTAGGGTCATGCATATCCTTGGTGAATGTCCTGACTTCCAGGACGTACATGTGTTTTACTTCCCGACCGTCCTTCACGGTCACTTGTCTCTTGATGGAATTCTTGGTGAATTGAATACCTTTGATATTGTTCGCCTTAGGCGTTTTTATTCTTGTATTGGCATCATTAGTGATATTTAGCGCCCTATGATTATCCCTAACATTTGATGGTGCTACATAGCCTTCTCGGCTTGGTGCTTCTCTGGTCACCTCTCAGAGGTGACCAAAGAAGTTACCTGGCTCCCAGATAACACACTGCATGACTTGATCTTCCCTGCAAGGTTTGTTGATGAGTGTAGTAGTTAAGAGTGTGTTGTCTAACTGCAATCGTGGTTGGGGCACGTTTATCGCCTAGTGCCCTGTTCAATAGTTCAACTTTGGGCAGACCTCACTGTAAGCCTACATGTATATAACATGTTAATACACACTGACTGCTTGTTCCCCAACACAATGAATTAATTATGCACATAGTTACTTTGAATATTTGCAGAAGGTGTGTGTGGGTCACCCAAGTGGTGGCTCTTGTCTGGGGCTTCCTACACCTTTCTCAGCCTGGTATTTATGGTGAGAGTTTGGATTGGTTTACTTGATATGGCTCTCTAATCCAGAAAACCTGTCAGCATGAGTCCTATGAGCTAGTTTCCCTTTACCACAGTTTTCAGCTGAATTGTTATTGTTTCCCTTTCCAATTTTGCATTTGACACTGCTGATTATAGTTCTTATTGGTGTGATTTTGATTTTGAAGGCTGATAGTCATTCCTTTTGTCTGTGTAATTCAGCTTAAGTGCAGAGCTTTAACCATCGAGTCTGTCTTTTGTCAGCATTGTACCTCTGTTTTTACCCAAGCCACCTTCTTGAGCAGCAATGTATCAGGTTGAGGCTGTTTTGTATGACTGTGCTTTGAAGTACGGCCCATGTTTGCAGCAGGTGGCACTGCTGCCAAACCTCTCCTATTCTACAAGGATGAGGATTTTAATGTATTTCACTAGATACTTTTGTCAAGTTTCCATGGGCATGGCAAAACTGAGGGAATAATTAAAGGCAATTTTTGTTCTCCCAAGTTAACTAAAAATATATGTTCAAATAAAGTTGATACTTTTAATCATGAGACTTTATTATAAATGCAAAATCCAGTAGTTAATATTGTATTCTTTCCATTGTGCATAAAATATGAAGTTTTTGGCCAAGGAATAAGTTAAACTGAAGCCTTAGGTAAAGCGGTAGGATCATCATGGTCCATATTTACCAAGAGAGGACTAAAGTTTATCTTGAGCTTTATTTTAATCATTAAGGAGAGACTTTACAAGTCAGTACGGTGTATAATAGATGAGCTTAGTACCATTATATTGTGTATCGTAAAATTAATTTCTTAAATTGTTTAGAATGCTATTTAATCGAGAGTGCTCAGCTGGTAATGTATTTACATTTAACCTTTGTGATTTTTCATTCTAAATTGCCATGACATTTGGTAGCAACATGCTTGAATATATGAATGGAACGGAAACTATAATTGTATAGGAAACTATAATAATTGGTTGGATGTTCATTTGGGCAGAGGATGTGTCGTTAAATAAATTTGCTATTAGACACCTTAGATATGATGCCCTAAATGTGTGTGTTCTGGTACATCTGTGTTACCTACTTAATAGTCGAGTTATTTAAAACTTATTTAAACAATTTAAATCCTTTTATTCGCTTTGTAAAGAATTTCTAAATGT